TTGAATAAGCTGAACGACTTATTGGATTTTCTATGGATGGATATGAATGGATTTTAAATATATTTTTATGGTACCACGAGATGAGCTTGAGTCTCAAACTCGTTGGTTAGGGTGCGTATATGCAGTAGGACGCGTAGCTGGCTATGCTGGTTGTGGTGTACCCTGTTAGGCTTAGGTAGTCATGCCCACTCAGGTGCGTTTTTCATGTTGCCTTCTACTCAGATTGAGACTCGTATCATAGTCCAGCGAGAGTCTATAGTGTGGATATATATATATACACGACTTATATAGTTATTGTTGAGTTGGTTAGAGTGTATATGCGTATCGAGGCTCTACTTGGATTGTAATAGGTTAGAACTTGTTCGTGGGCCTGACCCACCTCTATTTTTCAAGTATTCGTCAATTCCAGGTTTAGACTTGATCGTGCTGAGCAGAGACTACTACTCACTCTTCTGATGATGTAGGACTTTTATCCATGGTTTACTCTGGATGTTCTTTAAGTTGCTTTCATTTCAGTTTGGATTATTATTAGGGATCCATTAGAGATGGACTCCCGAGTTGTATTAGAATTGGAGAAGTTGGATGTATCAGACTAATTATTTATTTATAAAATTTTTATTCTGAGGTTTTTTTCTATAAAGGATTTTCATTTTAGTTTCTTTCAGTAAATTTTTATTCATTCCTGCTATCTAAATTGTATTCTGTGTTCGTTAATTGCTAATTGTTTTGATATTCTCGGGTAATCGGGCGTGGGTCTGGCCAACCCGCATCCGGAAATCCGGGGGTATCACACTTCCCTTTTGCTTAATTTATCCATTCAGTTTCTATTTATGTTGTATTATGTACTTATTTATTATCAATTTTTTTTTATATCCCCGTATTTTTGGGTGTGGACTTGATCAACCCACGCACGAAAATTTGGGGGTATCACATAAATTCTCTAGATTTCAAATCAATTTTAAATAATCTCAAATTATTATATGTTAAACAACATAGTATGCTCATTACATATATCTAATCAAAAGAGCAAAATGAGTAAGACATCATTATATAGAATTTAATTAATTTAAATTTCTAATTTTCAAAAGTTGTTCAAACAATCCCAAATTAATATATAACAAGGACTAATTGATGGCCATGCCATATATCAAGTCTAAAATGGAATACAAGCAAAACACAATCAATTAGAATTTAAATCAAATTAAATTCATTAATCTCTAGATTTGAAAACTCTTTTAAATCACCCTAAATTAATATACAACAAAGATCAAGTCATGGCCATGCCATATATCAAGTCTAAAATGAGTTATATGTAAGCTATGATACATCATTAATTTCTCAAATTGATATAAAATATACATACAACTTGTATTTCATACAAAAACAAGTAAAACTACTTGGAAAGTAAATTATAACACCCCTTACCTCACTTGAGAAGAGTCTCTCTAGAATCCAAGGCAAATCAACACAAACTGGCAAACCCTTCAAGGGTTACGAAGAAGAAGATGGGGGGAATAAAAAGTATTTCCAAGGTCAAGCTTGGAAATCAATGGAAGGCCCTCAAAAATCAAGGTCAAGGCCTAAGGCTTCAAGCTCCATCCATGGAGGCTAGGGTTTTCTTTACAAAAGAGGGAAATAATAAAATGAAGTCTGAAAGAATGTGAGTGGAGGAAATAGAAATCCTCCACTCACTATGTGGTTTTACACCAAGGTCAACACATACAAGTTTGGTCAATTGCACAAGAACCCTTTTTTAAAACCATAATTCTAAAGTAACCCAAAAATAATTGCAAGACTTAATTTGGAGCATACACTTGTCACCCATCCAAGCATCCATTGTAAGCTTAATCCTAAACCTACACTTGTCAACCATCCAAGCCAACAAGTGCACCTATCTTAGGTCAACAAGTGATTGAATCTGCACCCTCCACATGTCATCATCTAAGTCATCAAGGTGTCCCCACACAAATGTCAACAAATGGACTAATGAGAATGTGACACTTGTCACATTTTTTCAAAAATTGCAAAAAGGTCCTTTTTGAAACTATCTTCTAAATTAAATTATAAAATGGTCCTTAAGACGAAAAATAATTACTTTACAGTAATTACACAAATGACCCCAAAAGAAAGAAAAATTCCAAAGAAGTGTGCATCCACACCCCTAAGGAAGAAAGCACACAACAAGCATACTTCTCTACAAAAGTAAAATTACACATGGCATGAAATTTAAATTTCGTGGATGCATGCAAAATCGGAATCAAATCCGAACACGAAAAGTGAGGTTGTGCCAATAATGTGACAACCGAGAAAAAGACGTAAAGTGAATAATGTCACAAAAGTGAAAATGTGAAAACGACTCGGTTCTCAAAGGAAGTCGTCAATCCTAAGGAAAGAGTATAGAAAACCATTCTTGATCACTCAAGATGACACTAGGTGACGAGAAACCGAACTCAGAAAGGAAAAGACAATGGAAAAAAAAATATATATTCGTGAAAATCTGAAAAAAAGAAAGGATGAAAAATGACCGAGTCAACATTAACTTTATTTCTAACTATTGTACATGGTTCGTTGGCAATTTATAATTCTTTAATTGCCTAGTATATAATTTTTTTGATATAGTATTTAATTTACAGTCATGAGTTTCATTTAATTTTTCTATTTTACTCATGGGGTGAATTTAGTTGTAAAAAATAAATAAATAAATAAACAAATAAAATTGGTAGGGCCATTGAGTAATTACTTTTGGAAATGAGGGAATATTGAGATATTGATGAAGGTGGTTTAGTGGGTTTGAATGTGGCAACATGTAGGGGGTCCAGAACTAGGTGTCATTCATATGCAAAGCTTGGAGACACGTTTAATCATTTAGCACTACACTTGTAACTAGTTCCTTTATAGTTGTTACATGCCAAACCAAAAAGAAAACTCCCAGCCATGGGTTGTCTGACAGAGAGAAAGAAGAACAGAAAGTGAAGAAGAAGAAGAAGGGTTTGGACTAAGGCTGAAATGTAGGCACTTTACCCTCACACTATCTAATCTCACCACCTTCAGTTGTTACCTTCAATTAGGTAGGCCGGGATTCTCTTTAACTCTTGCAGCCTTGAGAGTTATTTTTAAAGTTCTGTTTCCCAATTTAATGTTCCTCACCAATTTCATATTTCATCTCTGTTAAGTTTACAAAAAAAAAAAAAGATTAATTGTTACTATGAAATTCTAGTTTTGCTTGCTGCAAGTACATGATTTTCTTGTAGTCAAATGCTTGATTTTAGCTAAAATATTATACATATGATTGTTCATGATCTGAGTTTTGTTACATACAAGTATTACTTATGATTTTATTTCAGAACTCTCCATGAGTAATGTTTTCCAATCAGACCTTAGCATGTTAATAGACTGATGTATATTACCAATTCTACGCCAAAATAATTCTACTTAGATTCTAGAATGTTGTAATTGAGTTGTCTTTAAATGTTTGGGTTGAATTATGTTATTACTTAACTTTGGGACTAGGAGGGTGATGTCCCGGGCGAAAGGGGTGAGCAATTGAGTATGAGCTACCTGTTGGTGAAAGACTATAAACCCGCAGCGGTAGACCCTAGATGGGTATTCAGAGTTGAATCCCTACTAGTCGAAGTGGGAGAGATAGTTGGGATCACTCTAATTGAAGTAAAGTTGTATGACAAAAGGCCCAAATGAAGAATAGCTCTTTACTAACTCACCTTAACTCTTAAATGGTTTTGGAACTGGAATTTTTTTTGTTTAGCTACTGTATTTTTCAAATTTCATCATGTTATAATTGGTTTTGGTAGAAACTTGGCCAATGATTTCTCGTGTAAATCAGATCATGTACCTAAAAACCTCATGGAGCCATTTGTTAAAGGCTTTCCTACTAGGCATTGTCTCACCCTTTTTATTTTTCAGGTCTTGGTGCTCAGGACGGCGATGCTAGACCCGAGCTTGAGTTCCCTTAGATGGGATCATTTTGTGGTGCATATTATGCTTGCTATTTTTGTGTAGTATTATTAGCCTTAAGTACTGTTTTGTTCATGTTAATGCCTTATGAAACCATTTTAAGGCCATGGTTGCTATGCTAAAGTAAAGATGACAGCATGCTCCCTTCTATGTGTTTCTTTAGGTCTGGGTACCGTACTTAGATGTTTTGTGTATAGTTTGCAATGGGTAACATATGTACTTAGTTATCTGGGTATTAGAGCTGTGACTCTTTATTTTGGGTGTCCAAATTATTTTGGACTGAAATTATTTACCCCTAGATGACTTTATGCAATGTATATATTATTAGCGTCTTTAGAACTTTGTTACGCCTATGTATTATTTAAGTTGTTCATGGGTAAGCTTTGAATTTTCTGTTAGAGGGTTTTTGTTTTTGTTTTTTTTTTTTCAAGAAAAAAACAAATTTGTTTTAAAATTCCTCTAGTTCTTGCTTGGAAACGAAGTTTAATTAGAGGTCGTGCTTCAAACGCTGTGAAATTTTTACCATATGTTCCCCTATGTGTATAAAGTCTCTCACAAAAATTTTATAATTTTTCGATTGGTGAATATATATTTTTTTAAATCTTATATTATTTGCTGTTTGGTTTCTGGTCACAGTTTGGAAACTGAATTTGAGAAAAGAGTTTGACGGACTCCCCGACATCAATAAATTATGAAAATTTCCAGTTTTATTATTGCATGTGTCTAGTTTCTAAAGGTTAAGGCCCCAAATTTTTATTGGCTTTCTAAAAGACTAAGCAGGCTAAAGTTTTGCACTTCGTTCCAATTCAACACAAACTGTGAGAGCCTTCTTCCTTCCAAAAACTGTTCATTGGTGTTTTTCCAGCATCCGGGAGTGGCTCGGTCACATTGTAATTTGAGTCTAATTATTAAATAATTTTAGTTTGCTTTATTTCGATAATAATTGAATTTTTTATAATTTTTTGAGTAACTGGTAATTTTCTTAAGTTGAGCACTGTTCCTTCTTCTTTTTTTTTTTAACGTAATAAATCGCGCCCTATGGTGTTGGGCCGTGCACTTATAAGAGCTTTCTAGTTTTGTACAAGGAGCTCCAACAGCTGGGATTTAAGCTATTCCTGTTAACCGGAAGGGATGAGACCTACGGAAACGCTACAGAGACAAATCTTCAAAGTGCTGGGTACACCAGTTGGGAAAGACTTATCTTGAGGTACATAATCTTTTTTTTCTACTCCTATTATCCCTTTTACTTCAATCATTAAAAAAATTAAAACTACAATGTATATATTTTTTTTTGGAAAAAGAAATTCAAACTACTTAATCTTTTCAACATTTCTGTGGTGGATTAAACAGGGGAAGTCCAAATGCGGGCAAACCCGCCATCGTCTACAAATCTTGGGCGAGAAAGGAGTTAGAAGCCGAAGGTTATAGGATCCATGGAAGCTCTGGGGATCAGTGGAGTGACTTGTTGGGCTTTGCAGCGGCCACACGATCTTTTAAACTCCCAAATCCAATGTATTACACTGCTTGATTCTAAGAACATAAACCATAATAATTGGACAAACATTTCTCCACATGTCTTGTTTTTTTCAATAATGGGGGCTTAATGTTATGTCTGGTTTCTGTGGTTTTACTATGCAGGCCTAGAATTCTCTCTTATATATTCAATAATGAAAAGTTTTCCATTCCATAAGTAGTGTTCCTGGTGGGAAAAAAAACTCTACTGTTGGCTTATTTTTCCACATTACTTGAAAGAAGAAAATTTGCGGTGTTGCATAACCTTTGTTCTTCTTAGCAGTGACGGACCCAGGAAATTATGTCGGGGCGACCTTTTAATAATATATATATATATATATATATATATTGATAATTAAGCAAATTCATTAAAGGCGTTCAAGAGAAGAACACGTCCCAAAAACAGCAAAAAGGATCCCATTGAACACATTTACAATTCAAATCATCATAATAAGCAAAAATATTTTTTTTGTTCATTGAATCATTGAGCACATTCACAATTGTCCTCGACGACTTTTCATATTTTGAAAACGTCGTATGATAACTTCATTATTTATGCCACTAGATATCTCCTTTTTAATATATACTATCAAGCTATCACTCATCCATTCATCTCCCATTTTGTTGCATAATCGGTTCTTCATGATATTCATAGTAGAAAATCAAGAACGATTAAGCAATAAACAACATACGAATTCAGATTACAAGCTGAAAACGAATCATCAATTCTCATTTCGAACAGAAATCTAACACATAAATCAACCAAAATCGAGCAAATAATCCATTCTTGAGAACCAATAAAAAAAGAAGAAGATCAGTTGACGTACCTTCAATTTGCAGTATGAAAGTTGAGAGAACAAAGACCAAAGTTGTGGAATAATAACAGAAGATGACTGAAGAGAGAAGCAAACGGATAAGGGCTAGGCGAGGATGAAAGAAAAGCTCTGACAACAAGAAGAAAAGGTTGATGGAGAAAACACAGAGGGGGCTAGGGGGGCATGGTATATATTTTGGGAACTCATATAGTGTTTGGGGGGGCCGATAAAATATAATAAAACATAACTAAATTTGTAAACCAAACTAAAGCCAAATGTAGCAAAACTAGGAACATGGTGACAAACTCTTGCACGTAGCAAAACATCTAACTAAATTGCGATTTGAATCCTCTTCATTAATTTTAGGGTAAAGTACAGTAACACCTTCTAAAGTTTGCCAAAAGGACACTTAGGAAAAAGTTTATCCATTTTGGGACAATGACACCTTCTGAAGTATGATACATCTACCAAAGATACCCCAATGGTAATAAATTGACATTTTTACCCTTTGACTTTTATATTGACTAATTTAAATGCTGAAATGACATTTCTAACCTCATACCTAAAACAATTTTTTTCTTTCTCTCCTCTCTATTTTCTCTTCCTCAACCCTCAACACGAACACACACTATCACACATATACACACATACTATCACACATACAGGGCCGGCCCTGGGGGCAGGCGACCAAGGCAGTTGCCTAGGGCCTCCGATTTGGCCCAATTTTACTCAGGCTTCATGAAAAATAAAATTACTAAGGCCCAAAACTTGAAAAGCCACACTTGAGCCCACCAGACTTGTATATCATGCGGTAATAATTGAACAATAAAAAAAAAAAAAAGAAAAAAAAAAAGAAAAGAAAAGAAAAGATAGTAGTATGTAAAGTTAATGCGACAGTGTGACACTAAATTTTTTATTTTATTTTGTCACATGTGACACTAATTACTAATACGGAATCTAATACATATTAATTAAAACAAATACAGTTATCAGATTATATAAATTTGACATATACTACTTTGTTATTCAATTAAATAAATAAATAATAATCAAACTAACAACCAAAGAAACAATTAATGGAATTAGCCTTTCCAATAAAAAAAAAAAACAGTTAATTGAATTAGATTAAAAAAAAGAGTAAAGAAAATATAAAAGAAAACCAATGACATACCAAAAGTAGTCAACATTGTGGTGATTTCCAGCACCAACCATTGACCCCGTCCACAGACACTCCATAAAGAAGAAGAAAGATGAAAAAATTATATATATTATACCACACGATGCTTCTTTTTGTTATAATATATTTCATGAAATATTGTCAAATATATCTTTGAGTATGATTAACAACAAACTAAATCTTATTCCATGAAGAGAGATAGGAAGTGGTATTGTTGAAACTAGAAAATCAAAGTCATGGTACAAGTTCTTCATCTAATTATTCTTTTTTTTTCTTCTTCTAACTTACTCAATTTGATTTATTTTTTCTAATAATATTGAATATGCACACTATTTATTGGTGGTGATAAATTTATTATTATTGGTTAGTTGTCATATGCAAACTGTACTGGCACACAATTATTTGTTAGTGGTGATAAATTTATAATTATTAGTCAGTTGTCTTATGTACATTGCAGATGCGCACAATTATTTATTGATGATAGACACAATTATATTATAGTGTGTTAAGTTTTGGTTGAATGTATTACTTGTAGAAATTGAAAACACTGTGTGAATATATTATATATATATATATATATATATATATATATATATATATATATATATTTTGTGCATGTGAAATTTTATTTGTAAAGGACATCAAATGTAAGAATTCGCCTAGGCCCTCTCAAAATTTTGAGAGCCTCAGGCCAGCCCTGCACACATATACACTACAACATAGGATCATGATCCATAAAAATAGAGCAAATTTGACCTTACCCAATTCAAAATTTATTTTAATTTTAAAATAAGTTGAAGATAAATTTGTACAAAGATCACTGATTATTTATATTTATAAAATTACATTAATAAAAATTAAAATCTTAAAAATGACCCACTCAATTTAAAAAAATATCTTACTCTATATTTTTGTTATTTAAATCGGCCCTCTCATATAATTTTTTTTGTCTGTCGTTAACAGTAATTACTGAGAGTTTTGAAAAACTGTTACAAGAATTTTTTTTTAAACCTATATGTTAATTTGACCTCGTGATGTTACTTGACTGGGTTTCATTTGACTCTAATGTTAATTCAGTTTGAGAAATGGTTATAAATCATCATACCTATTCTCTCCACCATTTATTAGAAAGTTTAACAAACAAACACAGTGATGGACCCATATCTTATTTTCTCTACCCAAATATTTTCAATTACTTGATTTTTTTTTATGGGTAATTACAATTCAACCAAAATCCATATTGTGTGACAGTATGTGTGTATATGTGTGACAGTGTGTTGGTGTTGGGGGATTGAGGAAGAGAAAAAAGAAAGGAGAGAAGGAAAAAAATTATTAAGGGTATGAGGTTAGAAATGTCATTTCAATATTTAAATTAGTCAATATAAAAGTAAAATGGTAAAAATGTCAATTTATTACTATTGGGGTGTCTTTGGTAAATGTATCAAATTTTAGGGGTATCATTGTCCCAAAATAAACAAACTTTCCTCTTAGTGTCTTTTTGACAAGCTTCAGGAAATATTACTGTACTTTACTCTTAATTTTATTTTTCAAGCATTTGTTAGACTTCATAATGTGTCATATCATTATTTATATTACCCACCATTTTAAGCTTTAAAAGACTCTTTATTTCCTAAAATTAAGGTAGCATCAAATACTATTATGGTGGTTAATTTGTCATCATCAAAGGCATCGCGTAGGACTATTGTTGTTTACAACCAGTTCAAATGGTCTCTATTTCTCACATTAATCAAAGCTTCCATCGGATCAGACCCCTGGCATTATTCATAAGAACAAGCATACTCTCTTTTAAACCTACAATGAGAATAACATTTTAAAAAGATATATATTTCGTCTAAAGAGGGAAAGTGTTTTTGTCACTTTTGTTTGAACGAATGTAATAGATAATATAAAAAGATAGATGGATTGCAAATTTAGAAAGAAGGAATGTGATCTTCTATATAAATATATAATTTATCAAAATACTTTTATTACTCGTGTGAGAAAATTTTAGTAGAGTTAAATAAGCGATTTTGTAAGTAATTAGTTAAAAGTTAAAATTGATATTATATGTTTGTAGAGTAATCTTTTATATCTTTTCTCAACAAATAAAAATCTTTTAAAAAAACAAGAGTTTGTATGTTTCATCTTTCCTTACTTCCTCTTCCTCCCAAAAGAAGTTTCTTCCATCCAAAAGAAGTTTCTTCCATCATTTCTCTCTTTAATCCCTCCCGGATTCTTCTTTACCACAAAACATGGCACAAGTTAAGAACTTTGAAGGATTTATTTTGTGATTAATCTATGAACTAAGGCATAATGCTCTTTTTCTCTTTTAGTCTGGAATTAAAATTTAAAAAAATTTAGATTTTTTTTTACAAGGTAAGAAGGGTTAAAAATTATATTAGTAGGTGTAGAGAATCAGTCTGATATTTCAAAATCCACCAAAGATACTAATTAACTGGACTATCGAAGCATGCTAGAAAATTTAATTCAAATCCCAACTTATATGTATTTGAACAATTTTTATTTTTATTAACAAAAAAAATTTGAGAATGTGTTTAACTCTGTTCAACACATTAAACGTGATTTAACCGGTTTGAAAATTTCCACGGGACCCGTACGGCATAGGATCCGGATATATATAATATAGTTTAATATGTGAGCGTTAAGTGGAAAATGTAACAACTGCCCTGGACTATATATATATATGGACCATACATGAATAAAAGCCCGAATCACTTCGCTAGATTCTCATCTTCTCAATCCACAAAAATAGAAAGTTCTTATACCGATAAGAGAGTATGGACTCTGCCCTATATGTCTTTATACTATTCATCTTAATCCTCATCTCTAAATCGTTTTCTCAATCGGTAATCCAAATCAGGCCAGAAAACCACAACTCCATCGCCGCCGATCTGATCTCCGCGGGCCGGAAAGTTCTGAGGGACGATAATTTGTACTGCGAAAGCTGGAGATTCTCCGTCGAGACCAACGACGCCGGGAAATGGATTCAGGTTCCGGCGAAGTGTGCAGACTACGTGGGCAAGTACATGACCGGCGATGCGTACCGGTCGGACTCAGAGTTCGTGGCGGACGACTCGCTGGCGTTCGCGAAGACGGTCAAGATCGCCGGAGACGGCAAGGATGCTTGGGTATTCGATATCGATGAGACTTTGCTGTGCAACGTGCCGTACTACGCGCAACACGGGTTTGGGTAAGTCACATTATTTTTAGCCGTTGGATTGAAGTTTGATTGGGTATACTTTCTGTACCTTGTTTGGTTTCGTCCTGATCAATAACGGTGGATCGCATGTGACATTAGTGATATCTTCATCATTGCCTCACTGGGTCCCATTGCACCAAACGAATGTTTGTTCCATTGATATCTCAACAAGTTATAATGTTATTTGTATCATAATGGAATGGGACACAAGTCGTGGATTCCGCCCACTCATACTTGCACCATAAAAATTGAAATTCTCTTTCAAATTCTTCTTTATCTTGTAGTGCATTTGCAAGGTTTGATGTTTGGAGTAATACCGATTGAGGATAATATTGGTTAATGACTAAAATTTTAAGTTATTAAATAGTGCTGCATAGTCACTCAGTTGTACTCGATTCACTCATTATTCAGATTTGACAACTTGATAGTAAACATGATTGAGTGAGTTTAGAATGGATAAATGTTAGGAATATATACTATATTTTTTTTGTTTGTTTGGGTAATATAGTGAACAGAGAAAGAGTAATGTGCAGGAGTAGAAAAGATGGAAGATTCAAAATAGAGGCAAAAGGGATAATCACTGATGGCTAAATTTCCTACTCAAAACTTGAATTATATTGGCCAACTCTTAAAGGTGTTCCATATTGAAATGAATATATATGAGTGGGCGTGTAACATTACATAGTAGTTTAAGCTTGTGAGTTATTAGAGGGTAAGTGCCAAACCTGTTATAGCTGATATTAGAGCCACACCTAATCTTTGATTTGGTTTCACACTAAGCGCTAGCCTAGGTGAGCCCAGTTTGGGTAAGAAAAAATGTTAGAGGTCAAATATTTATGTCATAAATTTAAATGATTACTTCATTGAAAGAAATCATCTGTAGGGGAGCCGAATGCTCCCCATCCATTGGATTGTTGAAGTGGGATCCAATATATATATTTTTCATTACTTAATCATAATCTTAATTGCAAGAATGTGAGAAAAACTATATTTCAATAATTTGGATGTGTGATTTTATCCCCTACCTTGATATGGCCAACCATACATAGTCTGGAATCTGGATGGAATTGTCTTTCATAATTTGGGTTGCATTTTATTTATTTAAAAATATGGCAAATATCTACCTTGTCCCTGTGGTTCTTCAATGCTCAACCTTTTTCTTTTTAAAACCTTTTTCTTTTTAATATAGAGGAGATACAACCGAACTGCATCATGCGGTGAATCTGGTGATGGCATTTTTTTGAAATGTAAATTTTTTTGAATTCCACATCTGTACATCATAGTTATATTAGCAGTCACACAATTCTTCTAAAGTGATGCTGCACTCCTGTTCTGCGGCATTCCAGCTCTCACACTTGCACCCGCTCCCGATCCCAATTGACAATTCATTTGGTTCGTGTCTTATTTATCCAGAATAATGATATTTATGCTTTGAAGCCGCCTTGTAAATGATTAAAACTATCTTGTTTTGGACATAGATCAGAGGTATTTGACGAAACCACTTTTGATGAGTGGGTGGATTTGGCTGAGGCCCCTGCCTTACCAGCAAGCTTTCGGTTGTACAAGGAGCTCAAACAGCTGGGATTTACGATATTTCTGTTAACCGGAAGGGATGAGTCCGAAAGAAACGCTACAGTGAAAAACCTACAAAATGCTGGGTACAGCAATTGGGAAAAGCTTATCTTGAGGTACATAATCAATTTTACTAGTCACATTAAGTTATCACTTTTGCTTCAAACTACAAAAGAAAGGATAAAACATAGGTTACCTTTTCAAGTTAAGCTCTTGCTGCTCTTTGATTTATTGACCTTGTGTGATTTGAAAAAAAAAAAACGAGAAGCTATTTAATACAAATATATTTTCAACATTACGTGGGTTAGTAACTTAGTGAGAGAGGTAATCTATGGTGGATGAAACAGGGGAACTTCGAACGTGGGCGAACCGGCCATTGTCTACAAATCTGAGAAGAGAAAGGACTTAGAAGGTGAAGGTTATAGGATCCATGGAAGCTCTGGGGATCAGTGGAGTGACTTGTTGGGCTTTGCAGTGGCCACACGATCTTTTAAACTCCCAAATCCAATGTATTACATTGCTTGATTAAAAAAAATAGAATGTCGTAAAGCCTTTCTTTTCTTTTTTTCCCCCCTTTAATAATGAGGGCTTAACCTGCTCGCCATGATTCTTTTGAACAATTTCCAGGGCTCATTAATGTTATGACTAGTTTCAGAGGTTTACTATGCATGCGTGTATTTATATATAGGGATGGACCCAGAATAATTGGACAGGGGTTCCCCGTTTATATATGGACGGACACAGAACAATAGGGTAGGGGGTCCCTGTTTATATATTTATTCTTTTTCAGTAGGTAAATCGTATTCGAATTCAATTTTTCATTTGAAAGAGGAGATATCACTTTGGCCAAGTGTTTGGTGGTGTGCATGTGTATTCATGGACTTTGTTAATGTTTGACTCCAATTAACTGACTCTCTAGATCAGGAAAAAAATTGGCTCTAGTCCGTGGCATGAACTGAATTAGTCATAATGTGTTATATTGTTTTCATATTATTCATTGATTTATTTATTTTTTGGATATGCTACTACTGTTTTGGGGTAATTCGCCGAGATCATGCACCTTTCTTTCCTAGTTATAGCGGAAAAAGTACAGTTGATCGGATCCAGCCTATTCTTGAAATAAACAACTAGCACACAATTCATTTTCCAAAAAGATCAATACACCAAGCACTATGCTTAGATTTATTGTAAAATACCGGTATTAAACCCGAAACTCCGGCGGATGGCCCATAGAAGCGAAAGAATCGGTTACATGACTCAACTTTATTACTATAATAAAAGCCTTTTATTCAAATTGTTTGTCATTGATGGAGTGTTCCTGGTGGGATAAAAAAGAAAAAAAAGCTCTAATGTTGGGTTATTTTTCAGATTACTTGAAAGAAGTGAATTTGCCGAGTTGCATAACCTATGTTCTTATGAGGTTTGATAGAAAAGAATAAAAAATAACTAATTTTTTAAAACCAAACGAAGGCCAGATGTAGCAAAACTAGGAATAGAGTGACAAACCTTTGCATGTAACAAAATATCGGAAATGTAATCTAACAAAATTGGGATTTAGATTCTCTCCAATCATTTTCTTCTCGAGCATCTCTAAGATTTCATCCAATACCGATTTAACCTTTAAACAGCTCCGTACTTCCTAAAATTAAGGTAGCATCAAATACTAAAGTGGTGGCCAATCTGTCATCATCAAAGACAGACCAAATTGTCTCGATTCCTCAAATTTATCGAAGCTTCCATCTGATTAGACCCTGGCATTATTCACAAGAATAAGCATATTAAAATAATTTGTGAAAAGAAATGATCTCTGTTGAATCAAGATTAATCAATCAAAATGTATCAAAAAAATGTTCCAGCAATGACTAAGGCATTAAATTAGTCAAAGCCTCCATCGGAGGCATGATTAATAAGAATCAGCATATAGTCTCTTTTAAAATAAAATAATTTGTGATAAGAAATGTTCTCTTTTGAATCAAGATTATTAATCAAATGTACAGAGTCGCTAAAAAGATGTTTCAGAAAATGACTAAGGGAGCATTTTTATTTTTACATGGACCAATCAAATTTAGCATTAGATTCCTCCACCAATGAATCCAATAATTTCTCAACTCTCAATTAATTCCCCAACTGGATTTTCAACAACGTTGCTTAATTGTATCAATTTAAGATTATCTGGTTGGAACCAAGTATTTTTCTACACAAAATGGCTGACATCAAGCATTCATGGTAAATGATATGTAAAATTGAAGATTTATTGCAAAATCATTATTGAAAAGTAAAATTACATAAACTAACATGAAAAATTAATAAATCACATAATTTAGGAAGCCACAATACTTCTTTAAAGGTGTTGGACAGGTTTAGGAATGTCCTAAAATTTGGAAAAAAAATGCAGATTGGACACCACATGTTTACATTGAATGGAGATGGGTTACTAGAGGGTGTTCCGTGACATCGGTGTCATTGAATGGAGTTTGAGCTTGCTAAATTTTCTTTTTTCGAAATATTAAACAAATTGTATTAATTGATGAAAAATTACATGGGCCTTTGGCCAAAACAAAGGTTATAGAGTTCTTGACTCACATAGAGTGGTAGGAAAATGTCAAGGTCTTTGACTTATAAGAATAGATAAATAGTTCGGATTAACAATTTTAATTTTTGGTAAGAATGACAACCACTAAATATGTTATATTTGATATCAAATTAATTTAGTATTTAATTTAATGTTACATTAAACATTCATCTAGGTTAGTGATCAAATCATTCATCTAGGTTAGTGATCAAACCGTTACACCGAATATGACGAAATTAAAAGAGAGGGGATGTTCGCACTCCACTTCTCTACACTTATACTACTTTCTTAAAGGAAATAACATTTATATCCCTAATTTTATAAATAAATAATTTTATTTTTTTTTAGAATACCACAATTACTCTTTCAATTATGAAAAGATCCCCCCCCCCCCCCCCCTCCCCTCCCCCCCAAAAAAAAACCCCCCCACCAAAAAAAATAATGTTTTTATCTTCTTCATTCAATTTAGGCACTGTAAAATTATGTAGCCACATGGTCACGGACTAAATATCAATTTCAAAAAGGGAAAAAAAAAAAGAAAAAAAAGAGACTTATAATAGCAACCTAAAGACAGGAAAAAAATAAGTTGCAAATAATAAAATACATATAATATGTGGAAGAAATAGATGTTACACTCATTACTATTGAATTGGAGTGGTGTGTCAATATTTTTTCTTTTTTCATTTTCTTCTCTTATTAGTCTCCGCCATACACGCACGATGTCTTACTATCTTTTTTAGTCAATAATTTTCACCATTCTGTCACTGAATTTACACAACTAATAATTTTAGTTGTGTAAATTCTCTTCTCATGGAATTAAGGAGGCTGCTCAGAGTGCTTTCATTAAGTACTTACTTTTTTTTTTTTTTAGTTGGTACTCACATACACATGCCTTTATTGAGATTCGAATCCCTAACCCTGACCTCCTTTTAGGAAGTAGGGACTTGGTACCGCTAGGCCACAAGTCTGTTAGTTTTAATTAAGTACTCGTCAAGCCTTGACGATCTCAACAAGGCCTTACTTCACCGAAATCAAGACGGAGTAACTTAGGTGGAGGACGAGGTTGAAAGGCTTCAGATGTCCATCTTCAAAGAAAGCTTGGAGATTCTGTTCTTACCTTTGGTTGTTAAAAATTGGGTCACTAAAGTTCAAGAATGTCATTTGGAGATACATATATTTTTTTTTTCAATTTCCACTTCATATTCTCCTCACATAGGCCGCCTTATTTAAAGCGTAAGTAATATGATGTGGAAATAAAAAAAATAAAAAAAATGGAAGTAAGAAAATATTTGAAAACAAAACCCTAATGGTAATGTGGTTTAGTAGATGTGTATTTGAGAGCTAAAAAAAAAAAAAAAAAAATACTATAGACCGTATCCAAGGAAATCATATCATCTCTTTAAAAAATTTAATGAAAAGTAATAAGGGAGGAAAAGAGAGCTTGTGTTATCAACAAATTGGTAGAGAGTGGCAAGAGATGGTTTTCGGCTCCCTAAAAAATAAATAAAAAAGTAGTCAATTAAGTATAATTTTCTTAAAAAAAAAAAAAAAAAAAAAAAAACATTAAAGTAAGTAAAGAAGTAAAACAAGAAAGTTTATAGTGCAAATGGTAGTTAGGGTATAACGAAATAAGAGATGATACATTAATTAGTTTAGGGGTTTTTTTTTACATTTATTTAAAAAAATAAAAATGTAATGTAAGTGTAAAAAAGTGGAGTGCTAATATCGTTTCCGAATTAAAATAGGATAATATTTTATTATTTTATGAATTATTTGAATAATAATAGAGTAAAGTTATTGAGAGAGAACTCTCTTGGATATATTGCTGAGCTCTCCATTTTATAGTTGTTAGATTAAAAAAATTTAGAGATATGTGTAAAGAGGAAAGACGTTAAAAAGAGAAAATAACGTTTCCTTGGTCTCGAAGGAAAAAAAAATCTAACCTTTCTTTCGATAACCTTTTTTATATTTTTATTATCCGATATAAAGTTTTAGAAGAACGAAAAAAAATAATAATTTATCCGATATACAAAATGTGGCAAAGCATCATTATAAGTGGTTCGTGGGTCATTGCCATCACATCTTCTTTGTTAAGTAAGGTTTATTTTGTAATTAAGTCCAATTTCGAGGGCACATATTTCCTACATTTATCTTTTCCACGCATTTGAGTATTTGACTCTGTTCCGTTCATTTTCCCCCACCTTATTCAACGTAGATACTGAGAATCCCAGTGAACGGAGTGTCCATTTCTCCGCGAATAATCACAAAAAATGCCGAATTTCCATGTCCTTACATTCGAATCCATCTTTTCCTCTTTCGATCGGTGTGTATTTCACTCCATTCGGTAACAAATTCGAATCCACAGCTTGTTATACCATTCTACAGTTTCGATTGTGCTTTAAATTCGATCCCTTACCATCAAATCGTGTCAGGTTTTTGCGATTATTCGAGTGTTCTGATTCGTATTGGTGTTAGGGTTTTGGTTTTGTTCGAATTCTGGTTGCGATCGGTGACATGAAGATCGAAGAGTTGGACGACGATGGAAAATACGATCACGATCGTGTTGGTGGAGGAGGACAGATTGTTCGGGTCGATGCGAAGAGAGCGTTAGTCGGAGCGGGGGCTCGGATCCTATTCTACCCGACCCTTCTGTACAATGTGTTCCGCAACAAGATTCAAGCCGAGTTCAGATGGTGGGACGAAGTTGACCAGGTTTTTTTTTTTTTTTTTTTTTTTGTTGTTCTGATTTTTTTTAATGTATGTGTAGCATAGGCATTTCCATATATATGTGCCTGTTCATTTCTTATTGCAGATTTTATCAAATTTATATGCTTTAGATTGTACACCTTTCTGAATAGTTTGTTTCAATCTGATTGGTTGCTGAAATATGCAGGAATAGAAAATTTCAATTCGAATGCTGTGCAGTTTTGATGGGATTGTGTTTTAGAGGTTTTCTTGGTTGTTCCTAATTTTTCTTCTGGTATTGAGAAAATTGTAGGAACAGAGACGAAGATAGAATGTTGACTATTTTGGATAGATTGTTTGATTTTTGAATTGTTCTTGACTTTCTGTTTGGATGTTGGAAGGATAATGGGATCTTTGTTCATACGGTTCTAATTGCTTGGATTAGAGAAACTCAGAAACTCTGCTACATAGAATGCAACCAAAGTGGACAAGGATCCTCTCTATTACTTCTTCTCTCTTGTACTCCATGATATGCACAATTTAATGGTTGATAAAACGCCATGCTAACTAACCTATTCATTATTTCGAGAAAATCAAAATATAAATTGATCAACTAAAGTGGCGTGTTGTGAGCTACTGGGTCGTGGATCACTGAGTATAAGAGAGAAAAGTAATGGAGAGGATCCTTGTTTGTCTCACTTTATTTTTCTTAGTTTTCTTGCTAGCTGAATGGAGGGTGAACTTAGCTGAAATACAATTAGTTAACACATCTTTTATTTTATTTCAGTACCTTTTATTGGGTGCGGTTCCATTTCCTAAGGATGTTCCTCGATTGAAGCAGCTTGGTGTTGGTGGTGTCATCACCCTCAATGAGCCTTATGAAACTTTGGTTCCAACGTCCTTATATCACGTGAGTCATTTTACATTTTATATACTTGTTTTGTGGAAATTTGATGCGAACAATAACAATGTACAGATTTGCATTCGCATTTTCTAAATTTTGTGCTTGACTTTGAATCTATAATATCCAGAGCAATAACTATGACATGGATTTTGATTATTTATGCAAAAAATGCGATCTTGCCCTTTGCACAATAGCAGGTGTTGGATCCTAATTTTCCTTGGTGATTGGTTATACTAATTCTTAGTCTGAAGCTTGCCCTTACTTTTCAGTTTTCCTAAAATGATTTTTTTATTTTCTTTTGAAAATTAAATTCTCAAAGATGTGGCTTGAGATATATACAATAAAATCTAGTGCCATACTTCTTTTGATAGGGCTGTAAGAGTTTCCTTCTTTGTAAGATGTGGTTTTATTTTAGGATTTGTGTAGTTATTCTCCGAGTTTAAGGAATTTAGATTTGATAACTTAGGCTCTGAAGTTCCAAAGTGAATAATCATTTGAAAATAATTTGAGTTCAACCCGCCAATATCTGATGTTTGTTCAGTAATTCTCTGAGTCCTTGAAGATATTCCTTGCTGTTTGTTTTGGTGTAAGTATTAAAATGTGATGTTATTTTTCTTTTTCTCTTGTTCTTATTTATCAATATATATATATATATATATATTTATATTTATATATTTCTCTTGCTCTTCATTTCTTGCAATGAAGTATTGAGATTTTTTCTTATGCTAAATTCAATAGACATGAATATTTTAACATAAGCTTCACCATTAAATGCCCATATAGATAAATGATCCCTTGAAGAGTGTTCTTTATCTGTCAGATGAAAAACCTCTCCATGAAGTAAATATATATTTTTTTGAAAGAAATGTATTGTAAAGCTTTAATATTGTTGCTTTTCTGGGTCTCGCTTGTAATTTGACATTATATTTATCTTACTAATATGGGTTTCAGGCCCATGGAATAGACCATCTGGTTATTCCGACAAGAGATTACCTCTTTGCTCCTTCATTTGTGGATATTAACCGAGCTGTAGACTTTATTCACAGTGAGTTAATCTTCTTTCACTTCATTTACGCTAAAGTTCTGTTTGCAGAATATCTGTGCCATTGTTCATGTGCAATGTTTTTGCTTTCTTTCTCTTTTTGTGTAGAGAATGCATCTTGCGGTAGGACTACTTATGTACATTGCAAAGCTGGAAGGGGAAGGAGCACAACCATTGTGCTATGCTATCTGGTAATGTAGATTTACCTGCACAGGAAGTTGTTAATTGTTCCTACATATCTGATAATAAAGGCTAGTAATAGGGCATGCTCCAAAAAAGATTCTGATAGGTAGCCATTTGTGATGACCTTGTGGGCGGGTTTGTCGTGGGCGGGTGCGAGAGACACTGACAGGCTACCACATTGGCGAGCTACGGGTGCACAGTCCCACATCGCCTGGGTAGAGGTAATATGAAGTGCTTATATGTAAGTGTGTCACCTCCAATTGGTATGAGGCCTTTTGGGGTGAAGCTCAAGAGTAAAACCGTGCGGGTTCAGGCCCAAAGCGAATAATATCATACCATGTGGTGAAGTGGGTCGTTACAAATGGTATCAGAGCCTGACCCAGCCGGAAGTGTGCCGACGGGGACGTCGGGTCTCCAAGGTGGGTGGATTGTGATGACCTTGTGGGCGGGTGTGTCGTGGGCGGGTGCGAGAGGCACTGACAGACTACCACATTGGCGAGTTACAGGTGCACAGTCCCACATCGCCTGGGTAGAGGAAATGTGAAGTGCTTATATGTAAGTGTGTCACCTCCAATTGGTATGAGGCCTTTGGGGTGAAATCCAAGAGTAAAACCGTGCGGGCTCAGGCCCAAAGCGGATAATATCATACCATGTGGTGGAGTGAGTCGTTACAAATGGTATTAGAGCCTGACCCAGCCGGAAGTGTGCCGACGGGGACGTCGGGTCTCCAAGGGGGGTGGATTGTGATAACCTGTAGAGGAAATGTGAAGTGCTTATATGTAAGTGTGTCACCTCTAATTGGTATGAGGCTTTTTGGGGTGAAACTCAAGAGTAAAACCGTGCGGGCTCAGGCCCAAAGCGGATAATATCATACCATGTGGTGGAGTGGGTCGTTACAACATTGATCTTATATTTTGTGCCATTTTGCCTTATATTTAGAATTTATAGGTTTGTGTTGATCTTTACACTTTGTGCAGGTGGAGTATAAGCACATGTCTCCTGTTGCTGCCTTGGAATATGTGCGGGCTAAAAGACCTCGAGTGCTCTTGGCTCCCTCGCAATGGAAGGTAAGTGCAATGTTTGAGTAGTTTACCTGCTAAAAGTAAAAGTAGTTGTAAAAAAAAAAAACAAGAAGGAGAAGAAGAAAATGGGGTTTCATCGTGTCACTTCTTTTTCTGTAGTAAAGGTCTGAAGGGTACCGAAGGTGCTTGCAATTCTCTTCCATGAGTCTTTCTGCATTTTGTGGCTACGATGCATCCCCATCTCAGCCAATTATTGTCAGACAATGGAATATTTTATCCCTTGAATCCCATGTTTTGTGCCCTCAATATGCATCAGCTGAATTGTCTCTAGGACCTGATCAACATGTCTTTTGTTATGTCAGCCAACTTTGAGCATGACAGCTAGAAAGAGAAGACATTTTCCCTAAGATTTTCATTTGAAGCTTTGTGTAGAATCTCCTTATTCCTACTTTCATGGAACAAGATGAAGTATCTGACCTTTAAAACTCTCGTCCTTTTACAATCTAAGCTAAAACTTACATTTTGACCTCTGCCTTTTCAGAGTCCGTTATCTGTTTTTAAATCGATAATGGCATTAGTTTTTTTCCAATGAGAATTATCACTTGCCGATCACTTGGCTTACTATGTTGGTTTGCAACCAAGGTCTTTAATATGCACTTGTATTAAGCAGGCAGTTCAAGAATTTAAGAAGTGCCGAATGGCTTCTAGTGCACTCTCTCCCTCAGCAGATGCAGTTTTGATTACAAAAGCGGATTTGGAAGGGTATCGCGACACTAGTGATGATGCTGATAAGGTGCTGGCAATTGTCCATAGCGTGGCAAGGGTTAAGCCAATGATAGCAAGGCTTTCCTGCCTCTTTGCGTCATTGAGAGTTTCTAGTGGCTTTGGACCAGTTGCTGGTCAGCTGACGGAGGCACGTGCTTGTTAAGCTGCCCCATTGTATTATGGTGGAGGTTTGTACAGAGGAGCATTATAGGGATTGGTTTAGAAGTTTGATCAATTTCCTATGCTTCCGGTGGTCTTGTGCATTAAAGGGTGAGAGAAATAAAGAATAATGAGAATAAAAAAAAGGTAATCAAAGAGCTCATCAATGTATTGTATATAGGCATCGATGAGGTATGACTCGCAGTTCTACTTGTACATAAATCTTGCGTCAGTTTTCGTTATTTGTAATTGGTCGCCTTTACTGCTTTGCTTTTGTATGAAAGATAATAGTGCATTGAACACTGCCATTAATTTGGGTGTATTTGCATAAAGTGGTAGGTCTCAAGTTCTCAACAGATCGCGATAACAGTTTTTCCCTCTAGTTTTTTTGTTTGACACTCGCCTGTATATATATTTTTTCAATAACAGGGGTGTCTGGGGAGTTGGCCCCGATTAATCCACGAAATCCGTGATAGGCGCCCTCCACATAGAGCGGGTAAAGCTCGAACTAAGCTCGAACTCTGTCCGCGGGATCCTGAGATCTGGTGCTTGACTTATTTCTTCCATAAAAAATAGATGTAAAAAATAAGATATGATATTCACCTGATTTTAATGATGCATTTGTCTCTGTCTCTCTCTGAACAGAACAAGGGAATGCAAGTGTTTTCGAGAGACAATTCTGCCATTTGTTTTTTGGTAGAAAAAGAAAGTAGATATCGTTGCCAAACTCGAGCTGCTGCTCTTACCAATTTAATTGGTTTGTGATATGAATATGGACCAATCACAGTTTTTTTGAATAATTAATTAGAACTGAAAAAAGAAAAGAAATTACAAAGGATATACAACCACCCCTACTACCTCTAAGTAAATTCAAAATGCACAAAAACTGAAACAATACAATTGTACTGTATCACTTGAACATTGAAAAGCCCTAGTGTTTCAAATAGAGAATAATAGATTTGAAAGAGCTTTGTTGAAGAATAAAAAAAAAAGGTGGGTTATGGGTCATGTTGTTATATTCCCCATTGCACTAAAAAATTAATTCCTTCTGCAACTTCTTTACGGGACCGAATCTGTACTCTCTCTCAGAAACCCTAGCACTTCACTGCTCTAACACTTCCCTCTTTAAAAGCATCCAAAATCTTCCTATAAAGTGAAAGAATTGAATGTCACCTTTTTAGGTTGAATGTCATTTCCTTTTTTTCGTATTGCATGTGGAAAGTGACACTTCCCTCTTCCCACACCAAACCTTACTTGTAGGATTTTCTCTTCTTTCTGTTTATTTTTGCAAAATATATATACTAACCCAAAGCATCTCTGCACCTTAGTGATGTGATTCTTCATTAACTTGTCAAATTACTCAAATCTCCCTTACATTATATATATCTATATATAAATATATATATATATATATATTATTGTCATTGATGGAAATCATATTGAAAGTTGACAAATATCAGTGGGTACTTTTCATTTGCATATTATTATACATAAAAATGTGTCTCTATCCAACTCTTTCTTGCTCCATTGGTCACTCTAAAGTCTAAACCATAATTGGATGGCTTGTAGGACATATTATATATATATATAGAATTGTGATTAATTAAAAACAAAATAAACAAGGGGAATGTGATATGAAATTGACAGAAGAAAATAACAATATATCATATTATATTAAGTAGTGCATGGTTCTTCTAATATATATATAAATTGAGGTAAAACTTTTTCTAGTGTATGTATCTAGAAGATATTTTGATATCCATTGTAATTTAAAAGCTATTCAACTTAAAGATGTATTGACTAATTAATGTAATAATTAAAGAGAGAAGATCTATAGCTCTAGTGTAAACTTCCCTTCACATAGTATCTTGAAAGAAGCACGCATGTGACTTCATTTATGTACTTCTATATAAAAATATTCCATGTATATATGAACTTCATACAAATGTTCACAAGAGAGATTACAATTTTTTAAATGAGTATATAATTACAATTTAATGTTGGCATTGAATTTCTTTTTCCCCCTCATCTATCTATATATATATATAGTTCGATATTGCCAGGCAAGAGATGTTGGTCATTTCAAGACTTAAAAAGATTATTCTTGTCCCCTCATTCCTTATTGTCTTTATTCCCCTTCAGAAACTACGATGAAGTTGCCTCACCTCCATGTTGAGTTTTAGCTTTATTTCATGCACGTCCCTTAAAAAGAAAGACACCATGCACGTTACTCTCTCTCATGGTTATACATATCTTCTTCTATTCTAATACAGCACAAAAAGCTAGCATAGGGAATATAATAAAGCAATAAAGAGAGGTCTCATAAGTAACAGAAAACAAATTTTGAGTGACTTAAAATGTGAATTCTGTTACTATATATTATGGTAAGATTCCAAATTGCCAAAAAAGAGATTTTAACCAAGCAAGCCCACCTAATTGCTTCTCTCTCTCCTTTATGCCTGCCACACCCAAACCACACCGGCCAACAATGCATGCACTTCAAGAGTATGGCTGTGGCAACCACTTTGTAGAAAATTTTTTGGACAATCATGTACATGTAGTTTAGCTAAAATCTAACTACCTTTTTCGAGTGCATTCTATCCATGTGGCGATACTCTATTTGTCGGAAGTCCTTCCTATGATGCTCAAGGGAAAAAATTAAAGAGCGACCTAAAATTCGCTTGGTTCAGTTTTCAGTTTTTTGAAAACGGTATAAAAATTTGTTTTATTGAGTGTTTTTTGAAAACAAAGTAAAACAAGTAGTTTGTTTTTAGAGAACGGTTATTCTATAAAAACAATTTTGTAAATTATTGAGAACTGTTTTTAAAAAATTGAATAAATCAAGCCTCACTTCTATGTGAACTGAAATTTTGAAAGATGACGAAGTATCACAGAATACGTTATAGTATATGAGTACTTCAATAGTTGCATCTGCATTGCTATGCATCCTTAATTATGGCCTATGGACCTCCACTAATACCATCTAGCTTTAAGTAATATTTCCTATCACCCTTATAATAGGGAGGTGGGTTCAAGGGCTTTTTGTTTTTCCTATCACCAGGGGCCGAGGCAGGAATTATAGTTTGGGGGGGCTGAACTAAAAAAAAATATAAAAAGGGGGGTCAATCTAGTGCATGAGATTCCTCTCATTACAAACTTGGAGATTGAAGAAGTTGTAAAAAAAAAAAACATTGTTCAAGAATTAAATTTTATTTCACAATTGTTTTTTTTTTTCCACTTTGAAACAAACAGTTAGCAAGCACAAAATAGAAGTGCTTTAATAAGTTATACAAGGAGTTGCTATAGAATTTGTTGTCTAACACGTGACAACCAATATTAGCATTATGTGATTATATTTTTTGATAATGATTTATCACAATATCTTAAATATTTTTGTTTTTACTACTTCTTATGAACTGATTCACAAGGAAGGTTCATGTATTTTTATTATATACGAGGAGACTTTAGAATAATTTTTTCTTCTCTCTCTTGAATTCATATAATAGATATTATACTTGTGTATATATATATGTACATGTAAATAAAACAATGATTTATTGCTATAAACTTCTCCCAACAATGAACTTATATATTTATTTTACCAAATTTAAGCTTTCAAAGTAAGCTAAAAAATTCGAAATATAATTTTATATGAGCTTTTAGGTAACACAAGTTATACTTATTTCAGTGGGACAATAAATAAGTGATTTAAAAATTTTGGGGGGGCCAATTAAAATTTTATATCAATTTTAGAGGTTATAATTAAGGGTATTCATATAACATAATAATTTAAATGGGGGTATAATAAGAATTTGGAAAAAATTTTGTTTGAGGGGGGAGGGGCCATGGCCCCTGCTGGCCCCCCCCTGGCTCCGCCCCTTGGCTGTCACCCTTAAAGTAGGAATGTGTGTGTGTCGTACGTTTCCAATAAATGTATATGTATATGTGTGTATATATATATATATTTAATATTTAGGGCTTACATTAGTATCTTATTATATATGCTTCACAAAGATTTTGATCGGATTAGACTGAAGCTGATATGATTCGAGGATACAATCTAAATGTAACAGATCTATCCTACTTATGATACTAGGGGTCCTCTGGTTGGGACCTAAAACCACAGTTAATTTTAAAATAACAGATGCACACCATTATTGATGGACCATTTCTTAGAATGCTAGCTTATGATACAGAGGAGAAAAGTCACCATCATTACACATATTACGTTATCCATTAGATTGATGACTAACTCTTATCCTTAGAATACTATATTTAATTATTAGGATAAAACATATTGCAATTAATTTCTCTAAACTATGTCTCAATTGTAATTTACTTGAAAGGTTGCAAAGTCGATGGAATGAATTACTTAATATATTTTTCAATCACGTGATTGAATATAGAAAGCTCACTCTCTTAATATTCTTTCAATCATGTGGGTTACCCTCTCTATTATACCAGCAACGTCAACCCCAAATGGTATAACTTCTCCTTCCTCAAAGGAGAGGTGAAGGGTTCGAGTTCCATAATGAATGGGTGAGTGTTCAATGTGATGCAATTTCTGTCCGTAGCTTTTATTCTATTTTCTTGAAAGGAATACGAATAGGGAACCGACATGTCCCGATCACCAATCTTGTGGAGTTCATATCGATGAAATGGGCTAACTTTGAAGCTTTGAACATTTAATATACTATTGAAAAGCCATCAAAAGATTCTTATTTTGCATGCATATGCAGCAAGGCTAAGCCATGTTTATTCTTTAGATTTTTGAAACTATCAAAAGCAATGGAAAAGTGAGGCACCAATTGCATTATAGTAATTCAGTAAACAATTTCATTTCTATAAAGGGAAATCATTTGAACCCTAATACATTTTCTATTCTAAAAAGTGACTACCCACAACACATTTAACAAAGTTTCTGTTGCAATTTGCACACACTCTTTGGTGTTTTTTGCTGTAAAAGAAAAGAAAGAAATAATAATAAAAAAAAATTATACAAACAACTAAAAATAAACAAATAATAAGAATTGTCACATAAAGATGATATTGTAATGATAATGGTGATGATTTTCATGCAGGACGGGATTTGCTTTGGGTCTTCGTTTCTCCTTCTATTTGTCAGCAGAGAGCAGCCTTTCTTGCTTTCTTTTCCTTTCTTTCCTTTCTTTTTCCTTTTCTGTTCTTTTCTTTCCTTTCTTCCCCAACATGAGAGTTGTTGTACAAATGGTTCAGTTGAACCATCATAACTGAGTCGGAGTCAGGTCCACACAAGAAAAGAGCAAAACATAGGGTGGCTTCTTGGCCTCTTGTTGAAAAAAGAAGTTCAAGAAGGCTTCAAGTACTAATGATGATGAGTATGATGTTGTCTGTCTAGGGTTTTGTTTATTCTCTCTCTCTCCTACCCATGATGATCCGGGTTGTCAGGGTCAGGCCAGAAGGTGGAGTATTTCAACCATTCTGCTTCTTGTGGGTTTGTGATGGATGACTCCTGCAATAATAACAACAATTCAAGCATGTGAAATTTGTGGTTAGGGTTTGAACAAAACACCTATTAAACACACAACAGAAAAAACTGCCTATTTCGTCCTTTTCCCTGCAATCAATTTGTTTCTTGCTGTTTTTTCAATATCTTCATGTTTTTTTCTTTCTTTTTGGGTCCACACATAGAAAAAGTTTTTGGGTCACTATCCTTCTTTTCTTTGTAAAAACCTTTCTTTTTATCAATTTGTATTTCAATCTTTTTTTATGTTTAGGAAAAAGGAATCTGTGCATAGCCGGTGCTATAAGTGCACACCTGGTGTTATGCACAGGAAATGGTAGAGATTATCCCGAGATGCCAATCACGCTCGTTGTGAGTGTGAAGCCTCATGTTGCTTCGGGAGATGTTGATATCTTTTAATTACGAGTGTAGACGTGTTTTGAAAATCGTAAATGCAAATAGTGCAAAACTAATAATATCTACATAGATGAGCAGGTAGTTGACAGATGGTGAACAAGCCCATGACTCATGAGTATTAGGTAATGAAAACTTTTAGGATGGGGTAATTGTGACGTCCTACGTCACCAGGATAATAAAACGACTAAGGGACTCAAAAAAACCTACTGAGATTGCACTTATAACCAGAATGTTATTGGTATTATTATTATTATTATAATAATTATTATTCTTGTTACTATTTTCAAAATTGAGACTCATTCACTCAATTTATCCCGTGTAAATTTGAACTCTTGATCTTGGGTTCTAGAAGGTAACATCACTAGGTTATAACTCTCGATTATTAGCAGAAAGTTCCATCAGCATTAGAAAAAGTTTCTGCTCCTGTCATCTTCTTCTTTTCTTTATACTTCTTTTAGAACAACAAAAAAGGTCTTGATTGAAATTCCACAATTGACGGCTTCTGGTTTCACATTTTGTGCTTTCTAATTTGAACATCCTTGGGAAAACTCTAATTTCATGGACACACTTCTTTTGTTTCTCAGTTTTACCTTTCAAATTGATGTTCTAAATACTTAATTTGTACATGGATAACACTGAAAAAAAAAAAAGAAAAAAGAAAAAAGAAGAAGAAACAAAGAAATTTTAAAAAATCTACCCTAACTAATCTCAAGTCTACTTATTATCACAGTTTTGATATCATGTCAAAATCATCAAAATATAAAAATTGAAAAAGAGAAAAGAGATAAAGAGAAAAAGAAAAGGATTCAAATTATTCTCTTTAATTTATGGAGTAGATTTTCCTTTATTTATCCTCCTTAATTTTGTGTTACCTTTTCTTTCTTCCATTCCATGCATGCTATGCTTAATTGATATTATGACACATAAATTTTAGGGTCAAAAGTTCACTCACTTCTTTTATATCATTAGTTGATGTGCAGCCCATTATGAGTTCCTCCAAACCAGATGTAGACCTCCCTCCCATTTTATGATGTTGTTGCTGCTGCTGCTGCTGCTGATGTTGTTGCTGTTGCTGCCGAAAGATATATATATATATAGCCATGCATTTAGAACCAAAACAAAACATAATCATCTATATATGATCACGTATTGTCTGCAAACAAGAATTGAAAAGTAAAAACATAATTATCTTTTTACATCTTAGCTGACACTAAAACATGTACGGAATATGTATACATACACACACAAAGTATTCTATGCACGTATATGAAGAAAATGGGGTACGTGGGTTGTTTGGTTACCTGGAAATTGTCATTTTGGAGCATAATTCCAGAGACATGGAAGGAGTCTTCGTCAAGAATAATGGAGGCGTGATGGAGGGGAGGTGGAGAGATGATGGTGGAGATGGGGTGTGAAGGCCTGCTGATGTGGAAAGCTGTTGTTGCCATCTGATGATGGTGGTGGTGGTGGTGTTTTTGATGTTCGTGGGCCACATGGTGCGGCCTTTGGTGGTGCTCGTGGATGTCACGCCCTTCGCACGTGCCTGTCGCCGGAACCTCCCTTGCAGTTGAAGCCTCTCCTATTCCCACCTGCAACAACAAACCACCCACAAAAACAGTTTGCTTGCGAGCTAGCTAGTCCGTTTTCAAACCCCTTCACTCCTTTTCCTATCTTTTTCTTTTTCTCTTTATCTTTCTTGCATTTAGTTCTCTCTTTCAGTTTGTTTATATATGTGTGTGTGTGTGTGTGTGCACAATATAGTAGTGTAATTTTTTTGGTGGGTGATGACCAAAGTCTGTTTGGGTTAGATGACAGTTATTATCAAGTGAGTTCCAAAGAGTTTTCATGCTGTATATGCAAGCAAGAAATATGAGAATTAAAAGCAACCCTTGAACTTTTTGTTTAATTTTTTCATTCCTTGACCATATGCCAAAATATGGCTCAAATTGGTGTGAAATAAAACTTCATAATATTAAACAACAACATATGTGGCTTATATTTTAACCAAAAAAAAAAAAAAATCATATATGGCTTATCAAAAAAGGGAAATTAAGCAAAATGTACCAACCATAAAGATTGAATTTATCTAAATTGTGTTAAGCTAAGATATTAGAATCAATTAATACTATCAACTTCAATGACCAAAATGTGTCACTCTTATATTAATTAAAGAACAAGCTATATACCTCATCAAAGCTTTTTCTAAACGGGGCAAAGCTAAAATGGTCAGCTTTCAATTGCTGAATGTCCATAGCATTGTAACTTGATATTGCAGCACCGACCGCGGTCGCGGACAGTTCATCTCTCTGGTTGATTAATTCCTTAGAAGAACAGCTGCCACTGCCACTATCTCTTCTGCTATTAGGGTCACTATTTCCTTCGCCGCCGCCGGTGGTAGCGTTCCGGTCAGACCAATTGCATTGCCTAGGTTGAGTCTGATAGAATATCTTTGAAACCACAAGCTCACCTTCTTTCTCTTCTTCATGCTGACCCAAGTGATATTGGTGCATGACCCAGTTGGTTTTTTCGGGTTTTCGGTTCTTTCCAAAGTTTGTGTAGAGGACTAGGATTTTCTTGCACCCTTTCTGCTTGCCATTCGCCATGACGGGCCGGGTCTTGCCGGTCTTGTGCCACCTGGTCTCGCCGCCTTGCAAGTCGCATTCGGTTTGGATTTTTCTCCTCTTTCTTGTACCAGTTGTGTAAGCCTTGGAAGGTCTGTGGAAGAAATGTCTACTCAACCCATCTCTTGTAACTCCTGAAAAAGTAAAGTGAAGTGAAGTGTTGGCAAAATCAAAGTTAGGTTGACTTAGGTGTAACAAACTGTGAAGACAAAAATTTATACAAGTCGTGAAAGTCATAACAAACCCTAATTAACCCATGAATATTTTGAATCATAGAGAGAACATATACGGTGAAACCTACAAATTTAGAGAAAGAGAGAGAGACCTGGAAGTTTTTCTGGATGAGTATAACAAATCCCATCTTCTCCTTCAATAGTAGGGATGAACTCATCTATCAAAGGGTGAGATTTTGAATCTTTAGCTTCTACCTTTGCTTCAAGATGTTCAATCAATTCTTGGTCTGTTGGATCAAATTTCACTCCTGCAGGTAAACCTACCCAGTCCTGAAAAATCAAAATCCAATATTCAAATTCAATGAAAATGAAGACATAATTAAAAAAAAAAAAAAAAAAACCTATAATCTAAATTTGAATTTGATTTTGTTGAAAAGGCAATACTGTCAACAAATATTAAGCTGGATCAACAAAATTAAGAATCAAGAGCTTAAGAATATATATTTAGTAATAATAATGGGTATATACGTACTGGCTTTCCTTCGAGCTTGTGGCCACAACCTGGGCAGTGTTTGGATCCACAGAGTTGATGCTCTTCAAGCTTTGCATCAATGAGATCAGAGCTGCTGATGGAGCCCAACTGACCCTTATTCATGCTTCTTTCTTTCTTTCACTCCAACCCACAAAACTTTCTTTCTATCAACTTATTATTAATTGAAATATATATTCCATAAAACTCTCACTCTATCTGATCATATAATTAAATACCACTAATATATTCTCACATATAGATCCCAATCAACCTCTTTAAAGTTAAAACTTCAATATCAGGCAATACCCTTCTGCAAGACTAGTGCTCATAATTTTGATAGCTAGAGATCTGATCGATGATCTTCTTCTGTCAACCAAACAACAAAAAAAAATTCATGGTTATGTTAAGGTCCATGAAATTTTGAAACTCAAATTTAAAATATTTTAGCTCTTATGATCTGATTTCAAGAGATGCATATCAACAGATATATATATATATAGAGAGAGAGAGAGAACTTAACCCATAATTCTTAGATAAGAACATGAAATTCTGAAAAGATATATATAAACGAGAATACTAATAAGTTCTTAATTAAAACCTTGTATTTTCCATGAAATTTCAATTTCAAAACAAAAAATTGATCAAAACCCAAGGGAGAGATTAATTACCAGAAGAAGAAATATTCTTCCTTAAGAGGAACTGGTAAAGCCAAAGAGAGAGGGAAGAGAAGAGAGGAGAGAAGAGGTGAGGAAACGATTAGAAGGGGAGTGAGAGAGAGAGAGAGAGAGAGAGGGAGAGGGAGAGAGAAAGAAGAAGAAGCTTTGAGAGTAGGGAGAGTTGAGCTATAAAACCTTGGCTTTAACCATGGAAAACACGGAATTCCCTCTCCACTTTAACTGAAGCTAGCCAGTGAGATAAAGGAAAAGGTGTCTCATACCCTATATTCCACCTTTAACTCTCTCTTTGCTAATTTAAGTAGAAGAAGCATATATTTATTTATGTAGACGGTTTTCTGTGTGTGTGTGTGAGAGAGAGAGAGAGAGAGATAGAGAGAGAGAGAGAGAGACCCAGTTGTTGGTGTTTTTCTAAAGGCTCTAAGGCGGCCTCATCTCACCTTTGTTTTGAGTCTGTCTAGCTCTCTCTTGACTACTAAAGCAAAAGCTACGAAACGGCCTACTTCACAGCTGTTACTAAGGGGCATACTCAAAAGCACAGCAACCCATCTGTACTATTATACTTAATTTATTATTTATCCATACCATACCATATATATCAGTATATACTATAATAATACACAAGCACAGTATATAGTTATTTAATGTCTGTAATTTTTTTCATAGGCAAAAAGGTAATATCATTAAAAAAAAAATTGTGAAAAGGACAACTCACAAATGAAACCCAATAAATTCTTCATTTTGGTGATTTGACATGACATAATAGTTAGAGGTGGTGGTGTAGCTAAAATTATGTGAAATTTGTTCAACTAAAAATATAATTAGATGTTTACAGCACTCAAAATTTCTCATATACGGATGAGACTTAGAGAGAGATTATTTGAAAAATACAAGAATAAATATATGATAGGACGATTCACATGGGTTTTGAGTTGGAGTGCTGATCATGATTCTTTTGCCATGAATGTTGCACACAAGAGAGAGAGAGGGTTGCTTGATATGCAAGGCAAATGAGCAGTGTACTTGATGGACCACCACCACTCCTAGCTAATTAAATCTCATGTGTGTGTGTGTGTATCATCATATAAAAATCAACAAAACTTCAACAAGAAGCACCAAATAAATTAGCTCATCTAAAAGCTGAATTCTGGACAAAATTTATTTATTGTCAATATTTGGTTGCTTTTATTTATGTATAGATCAGGTCATTCTATATATATGTTTTCTCTTTTGGCTTTGGACTTGTATGTATTTTCTAATTTGGGGACTAATCATTGTACTTGAGACTATACAAACATTAATGTAGTGTGCACATAAAAAAGAAGTAGGCCGGCCCACTATTATGTGGACCCGACTTGGAGATCTTATATATCCCAAAAGTAATCCCATCAGATGATGGTTAAGCATTCACGTTTATACCATTCCTCCTTTTAAATGGTCAAGAACAAATGATGAAGGGTCCAGAAAACTGTTTGCAGAAACAGATGGACATGATTGCTCAATGCCCATTTGTCTGATATTTTTTTTTTTTTTGTTTTTTTAGTTAAAGGGTAGCCCATTTGTCTGATATTCTTTTCCTTCAATTCTTGAGTATGATTCACAGTAGAGAATATATAATATACTATAGCATAGATAGAAGACCATATATATATATATATATATGTGAAACATCAATTGAATCAAATGGCATGGCCACAAACAATTAACTTGTAGACATTCTTTGATTAGATTTTTCTATTTGTCCAATGGAATGCATGAGAGGATCAAATTGGTTGAGACGATCCCATTGTTGACAATTGACTAATCCCATTGGTGGAACCCACATATCTTAACTTTGTTTTGATTGGTCTGGCTACTCCAAATATTCCATAAAAATGGTATTTTGAGTATTGACTTAGATAAGCATATTTCTACGTCTTTTTTTATTATTATTATTATTATTATTATTATTATTATTCTGAAATGCATATTTTCAGTTTGTATGATAAAGAATGTTGTACCAAATAGTAGTTAAAAAAACATATTTCAGTATTCAAAGCATTTAACAGGGTCTATTATAGCAATGATTATGTATTCAGATGGCATTCAAAAGGAAGTTTTGGAGAAAAATTGACCCATCATATTTGTCATCGTGTGTGGAAGACGTGTTGCTTTACTTTCCTCTGCTAGTAGTTTTGGATTAGGGTAAAATAATATTTGGCCATTTTCCGTATACTTTTTTCCAAGATGTGTCTACAAAGGAACCTCTATATATTAATATGAGAAGCTTAGAAACCACATTTGAAGGCCTCTGGAAACTTAGCATGGCATTTAATGCAATAATGATGCTAAGATACATATATAAGGACAAAACTTTCATGAGACTTGGGCAATGAAAAATTGCTTTATACTTCAGCATATTTGGGCACATGTCATGTGTCATATGACCCGTGTTGTGACAATCTCAAATTGGTTCATTTTCTTGGTAAATCTGGATAGGCATCTTATTAGGTACCATCAACAAGAATCTAGTTCCAGGAACACACACAAACACACACACCATGAAAAAACATAAGAAAATCCAGCCATTTGACCAAGTTGAAAGCAGTAGGTAGCTTAGAAGTTGGGACTAATAGGTTTTGTAATGTGAATTGGGTATGACTCAAGAATAATAAACCCTAGCACGGGAGAAATATCATGTTAGGTTCATCTAATGTTGGACCTTGCTTCTAATTTACTTCATTTTTACATGTTTTGACATTTTGTCAAACCAGTCCATTCTCTTTCCCTGATAATGTGTATATATATATATTTTTTCACCCTCATAATGCATTAATAAGATTAATGCATCAATTTGGGCACCTCTGTTGAACTCGTATCGATTGTCGAGTTTCAATGCATCAACGGTTCACACCAGCAGCAAAATGTCAAAAAAAAGGTTCCATCTCAGATAGAAAAGATTGTATAACTTCCATGGTTATATTCCATGGGTCAGTTGGTGTCGGTGTTTACATTCATGAAATTACAAAAGGTCCTAAGCTTTTCTACCATGAGGGTTGGCCACCTGCCCTAGCTACCAAGGTTTGCTATTTCTCCATGGAGCAATAAAAATTTAAGAACAAGCTTAAGTTTCTTGAAAGGACAAAAAATAAAAAATAAAAAATAAAAATCAGATACATTTTTTGCATATATATTTACAAGTAATGCAAAAACACATTGAGAATCAAAAATTCAAAACAGATGCTTTTCCAGAATAGAGAGCATCTAAATTCCTTCTTAAATTTCCATTGCTATCAGGGTGTAAAGATTTGCATTTGCCCAAAAACTGGACTGAAACATGAATTCGGTGTATATATGGCAAAATGAAACTAGAGAATAGGCAGAAAATATTCAATGATAATGGAAAGTAACAAAAAGTAGGCCTTAAGAAAAGGATAAAAATAAATAAGCTAACTTTGAAAGGGATACAACATATTATTGTTAAACTGGAGAGCATCAAAATTCCTTGTTCTTCTATAGTTATTGGGTGTGAAGACTTGCATTTTCCATAGCTATTGGATGTAAAGGCTTGCATTTGCCCCAAAATTGATGACAAGAAGCAAGGCGTCCGCCCACAATTCATTTTCATTTCAATTGGAGCTTGCCGCTGACTGAATCATAGGTTGGGACAGAAGTAACTGCCAGACATGGTAGACAAGACAAGGAAAGTAAATCAATATGAAATGCTGATGAAATCATAAGCAGGAGTGTTTTCTCATGAAAAGGAGCAATTACCGTCTCCAATAGATGCCATTGTGAGAGGAGAAGAAATAAGCTTTTGTGAAAGGGAAGCAATGTCTTTCAGTCCAACTTCGTCCACCGCCTTCAAGAAGTGCTCCACAGGTTTCCTGAGAATAAGAAATGGGAAACATATGTTTTAGGAAAAAAGAAAACAACAGACTTCTTCATGAACAAAAGGAATTCAGGTACACAAGCAAGATTGAGATTGGCACTAATACCGAAAATCAAATTTACCAAAGGTTATAATGAAACTACATTGTGCCATCCCTGTCATTAGTGAGGAATGAAAGCAGAAGCATCAGTCACATTAGCACTACGATCTAATCATACATTCTTTTGAATTATGTACTATTTTATTAGAGGGAGAGGAACTGATTAACTTCACAAGTGCATATCCACCTTTACTGTAGGTAGGACACACTCACACAACCACTTTTGTCCCTTTGGGACTTGAACCCTCAATTGATCCTGTAAATTTATGGGAATAGTATAAAAATAATAATAATAAAATCCTATGCAACTAGTCTTATTTACACCAGTATATCTAAAAGAATACAATGGCCATATTTCCCAACTATGTAAAAAACACGTAATTCCAATTTTAAACACAAACTCTAACTCTCTCTCTCTCTCTCTCTCTCTATATATATATATATATATATATATAATTACATATATGCATTTTTTTCCTGAATAATTATATATATGTATATTCTTCTAAAAGATCACTTCTTTGTGTCTCACTCAACACGTGTGTGTACATAAGACAACATCTTTGTTTCTCCATCTCTACGAGTATATAGCTATGTTCATTTTAAGAAAAAGATCACTTCTATTTGAATTTAATTATTTCAGGCCGATTACAAACTGATTAAATTGTTTCAGGCAGATTACAAACTGATTCCTAGCTTGAACTAACAAATGCAGGTAATTTTTGCTAGAATTCCATAAGGGTAATTGGTCAAAAATTTAAGAGTTCATGCTTACTCCACAATATCTTCTCAATTCATCCTCTTCTTCCATTAGACATTTTCAGCCCCCTTGTTGTAAATGGTTAACCAATTGAATAGAGTATATGTTTTCTCCATGATATCCTATTAACCCAACCTGTCTTTAGACAATCTCATTGGTAAGAAGAATGCACTTAAAATGTATTTTGTCATAATGTATATAGGGTTGTACTAATCAGATGAAACATCACTTAGCTGAAACTCAAAAAAAAAGAAAGTAATGTTTCCAATTATTTAGTAAGTTCTTCATAAACTTTTGATGAAATGAAACAGAAGAATGGAGGAAACCGTGATCAGATATAGAAAATTTTGAGTAACATAAGAATGATGGTGCAGAAAAGGAAAGTATGGATGCATGATACAATAGAAAGAGAATTTTGAATAGGGTGAAGCAAAAATATATTTATTATGAAGACATAGGAATCTGTTATTCAAAAAATCTCTAGATTCTTCTATGCCCATGCTTTGGAATATAATCAAAAGCCCATACTACATCCTTCGTTTTTGAAATGTAATTTTGATATCCAAATGAAAACTCACAATTTCCTATTGATTTTTATTGTGTCCAACATAATACAATCTGTGATTTATATTATAAAGAACTAGAATATCGGTTCATGATAGGTGATATGTATTTCAATTTGGTAACTACTCGCACAACAAGAATAGGACTCCATTGCCTTGTCATGCTCTCAGAAGAAATTTTAGAAAGGGTTTCTCAGGATTCTTGAAAAAAAAGAAAGTTTGTGTGCTAGATTATAAAAGTCAGCAAAACAAATGGTACGTATCTGTTAACAAAATGGCAGACTCAAAATCCATTTCGGGTCCATATCTCAGTATTTTATTCTCGGTATAAAAGAAGCAGGCCCACAATCAGCATCCTAAACCACAAAAAGTCTTGTTCATATTTTACGTTCAAGACTATCTACCTGGTGCCTACATATAATGACAAAATAAAATACCAGACACTTGCAGACAAAAAATACCAGAGATCACAGTGCATAGATGCATATTGCATTGAAAATGAAATTGATCAGTCACTACAGAGAAATAAACAGCTATTACTCAAGTCATACCTCTCTCCATATGTCAAAATTTGTCTACCAATATCTTCTGATGCAACCATCTGCAAGACACAATTCCCATTATCTAATATGTGATGCAGAAAAAAGAGTGTCCTGAATCCAAAAAAATAAAAATAAATTAGAGCCAACAAAAAAACCAAAATAAATTGCATACTCTGGATTCCAGGTTCATAAGAATGGCAGACTTCGTTGACTGTTTAGCACGATCTAGTTGTACCTGGTCAACTGAAAGGGAAAAGAAAATGGGAAAAAGGAAGAAAAGATGGAATCAGGATTGGGAATGTGGAGGCACGGATAGTGGCAAACGTAACAGGTATGATAGCAAACCTTCCCCGGGTGTAGCAACTGAAATAAGCTCTTTAACTGCTATATCAATGGCATTCGATACAAAATCAGAGCCCTGAATCAAAATTTTTAGCATCCTCAGACTTAGGACGCATAAATGATGCAGACAAAAATATGATTCACAAAGAAGGTATTATATGGCAAAGTAATTGCATGCCCATAATCTTGCCAAGTTAAATACCCGGATTTATATAAATTGTTTAATTCATAATTCTCCAAAGAGAGAAAAATAAATAGGTTGTGAGTGTTTATTATAAAATAGAAGCTCTAGAAATCATCAGTGTGATCTCCATTAATATACCAAATTCAAACAATTAATACCTTCCACACTTTAATGCATATTATGTAAAAATAATAACAATAAAAAACAAAAAGATTTAGTCAATCCCAAAGAGATTTTGCCTTTGGCAAATGCAACACGTTGCTTGTAATTAGGGCTGGCAAAATATACCCAAACCCAATAATTAATGATTATTGGATGAATAGTTTAGTTAAGCGTGTCAGTGATGGGTCAATCACAAAAGCATAGTGTATTTAGCGGGTTATTAGTGGGTTAAGAGTGGGTACCCACTCCCAACACACCAGACATGACCCTTTCCAAAAAAAATAAAAAATTTACTTTACTATCACCCAAATACAACTTCACTCTCTCTCCTTTTCTTTCTTTCCCCTCTTTCCTATTTCTCACTCCTCTGCTTTCTCTCTCTTCGGTCTCTCTCTCTCTCTCCGTTTCTCTCTCTTCTCATTCATAAAATAAATGATAAAACTTCCACCGCAAATCAGTCAAGGCTCCTTTTTTCTAAAACAAAATATTATATATTATTAATATTACTGGCAGTGTAAGAATCTTAACACGCGGCTTTTCGGATATATATATATATATATATATATGGTATGCATTTCCATTTATAGGAATTGTTCTAAAAGCAACACTTTTTTTTTTAACAATTTGTTTCAAAAAATATTCGGGTCATTGGGTTAGGTGTGAGTTGACTCACCTATTTAACACCCAACCCGTTTATGACCCACCATAAATGGGTTGATACCAAGTTACTGACCCACTGACCTGCCCATTCAAAACCCACCCAAGACTGCCCATTCCCCCTCCTCTCTAAGAGAGAGATAACATGGTTTTGTGGACCATCTAGAAATTGAACTCCAATTCTACAGCACCAACATGAGGGAAAAAAGACCAAGGTTGAATAAAGAAGCGTATATGAATTATCTGCTTTTGGAATTTCTTTACAGTGCTTATAAATTAATCTTTTTAGCATTTTGCTTCATCATTCCTCGTTGATTCAAGCATGTGTGGGTCATTGCATTTTCTATAGATGTGATTCATATGTCAAGCAACCCAAGAAGATAATTAGAATGTGGTGTCCATACCTTATACTTTATATTGAAGTGTTAAGAAGCTCACATTGGCAGCATTTTTCAAAAATCATTCAAAATAAATTAATAATGGTGAGTTGATGGTTTCATATGTCAGAGAACTTCTCTTTGTATAAAAGAAAGTACCATATCTATCCAAATTACAACAGGTTCAGAAGAGGTGGCTTACAGTGGTAGCTTGAATTCCGAATATGCCAGTGTTATTGTAAATGCTGTTAAACGCAGAAAATGACTGCACTTGCGGGTACTCATTCAAGACACGGAGATCTGCTCATCATATCAGTGTAAAATTTGAGTCTCAGTCAGAAAAAAGGAGAAAAGTTGTATTCATAAATCTAATTAAGAACCGAAACAAGAATGACAGGACTGAAAAAGAAAAAAGAAAAATGGTTATATGTGAGATCTGATACCAACAAATGATCATAGGTATACCTGCGTACTACTTATGCAATAATGACAAATCATTTTACCTTACTATGATGTAAGTATGCATATACTGAAGCACATTTGTATCTCAAGTTCAGTTATAGACCAAATGGATACCAGTGTGCATATGTATTTATGTACAACTTACATAACCGCGAGTACATTCCTTTTCCAGGACCTCCAGCAGAGAAAGATCCACCTCCTCCCATTAGCATCTACAAGAAATATTGGTTTGTTATTGCATCCAAGCAGAATCAGAATAAGAAGCACTAGCAGGAAAAACGAAGAAGCAAAGACCCAAGAAAGATACGCAATCTTATTGTTAAGAGGGAACTTATCCCACATTGGATCTGGATGGTGAAGGGCTTGAGCATATATGGGAGAGCATGCAACACTACCCAATACCTGAAGCTTTGGGGTCAGAAGGCAAGTATCCGACCCGTTACAAGTGGTATAGTACCAGACCTAGTTCTTGATCCGGTGTATCGCCAAGCACCCACCCGGGTGGAGTAATGGTCTCGATCGTTACGGGGCCCTCCCATTGTTGGGGGAACGGGTAGGCAAGGTGGTCCACAGCAACAAGAGAGTTGCGAGTTCGGGTGGGGGAGAATGTTAGAGGGGGCTTGTCCCACATCGGATCCAGATGGAGAAGGACTTGGGCATATATGGGTGGGTATGTAACACTACCCAACAACTTAAGATTTTGGGTCAGAAGGCAAGCGTACGACCCGTTACACCTATCCACTATCATAATTGTATCTAAGTAAGGAACAAGTACATGGAACAAACAGAATCACTATAGAAACCCAATGATGGGACTAATTACTTGAAGAACAGTCAATGTCACAGCTTCCTTCTCTTTAAGCCAGCCACCAGGAGCTTCAAAGGCAAGAGCAAAATGAGTTTGCTGGCAACACAGAAATATAAGAGAGCCTAGTCAGGAAATCGGAACTAACAATCATAGATGGACATAGAATGTGTAAGAGGAGATTTATATGCAGCATTTTAAATGCATACCCCTGGATCAGTTTGACAGCGATAATCACCACCAACGTACACAGATTTTGGCTCCTCAGGGCGAGGCACACTGGGTAAGTCAGAAAGAAGTGGTTCTGCAATTTTTAACAACTCCTCGTGTTCAATTCCAGAAGCTGCGAGTACCATCCGAGAAGCCGTATAATTTTCCTGAAATTTTCAGAAAAAACAACAGTTTAATCAAAAACACGTAAAAATTTACAAAAGCATAACAAATTAAATGAATTGGGTATTGACACAATTATATTACAAATAGGTATAGAAAATAAATATGAAGTTTTTTAGACTCACAGCAACAAAATACTCCAGCATTGTACTATTCAACCTGTTTATTGCAGACTCTGGGGCCAAAAGAGGATTAGCCAATGCACCAGAAAAGCCAGCAGAGTGAAGTGCCTCGAGCAGCAAGCCTTGAGGATTGTTAGAAGCTTCTCCAATCTCATCCTTCACCTTCTGAAGCTATAGAAGGTAGAATATCACTTCAGTACAAGTATAGCATCTGACATGGCATGACAAAGGGAAGCAGATCAATGAAAAGATGAAAAAATTTACCTGCTCATTGACCTCCCAATCCAGGAACACAGGATTCCTCACACAGTCAACTAGCAGCTCTACCATTTCAGGAACATATGTCTTCAGAGCATCATAGGTGTATCCCATCTGCTCCCGAGAAGCTGAGGCAGTCACATTGCCACCAATTGCCTCAACTTCTCTAACAATGCGCAAGTGACTGCGGTTCATTGTGCTCTTGAAAGCCATTCGTTCCAGGACGTGTGTGGCTCCAAATGTAACTGGCGTCTCATAGATTGAGCCACAATCAACATATAACCCAATTGAGCATGCAGGATTCTGTTCAACCAACCAAATCAACAACTTTGTTAAAAGAGGAACTTATATAATTCAAGAGGAAGGATCAAAGAGAAGAATGTAAGATCCATACGTACAGCAGAAGTTTCTGAGGCTACTTTGACACCATTCGGAAGAGTTGTTATCCTGGTCTTACCCGGTTCAACATGATCAGGAAGTGAAGGTGGCAAGGTAACACCTTTAAGTGGGTAGCTCAGGGAAGGGAGAGTCCTAGAACGTTCCCCCGTGAGCCAACTAAACAAACTATCTGAAGAGGGTGATTTCGTGGCAACAGCAGTCGAAGTTGCAAACCTTGCTAGTACCCTATTGCCCGCAGGGCCCTGTTCTCGTAGTTCAGTATCAGAACAAAAACCATTTCCGCTTATCAGGCTAACCACATATAATACATGAAAATAACATTAACAAATGCTCTACCACACAATTATAGGTTAAGGAAAAATATTAAATGCTAATTTCATCATAACGCCATTTCCGTAAAATTCAATGGCTGTAGTTAGGGTAACTTATCCCTAAGGATATATCCTTCTGAAAAGTTTATACTAGCACCATTCTGCCAAAAAAAACACTACATTTTTCCCATATTACAAGAAACTCTGAACTAGAATACATCCAAATATTTGAACTACTAAAATTATTTTTTCACTTCATTTTGTTGTCGAGTGAAGGGACCAAGACGAAAAGAAAAAAAAGTTTTTGAGTCATATTTTTTAATGAATTGTAATTCTTAAGATGGAAAAAACTTCACCAAGCCAAAATTTTGCATGAGGGGTTGATTTATTGATTTTTCAGGCGAGGAAAAGAGAAGGGAAAAAACTTTTTTTCAAGTTCTTCTCATCTCCAAGTCTCTCCGCAAGCCAGCATTGTTCAAATGCATGATACAACACGTGTCGCGTGTAATTTACCACTAAACTGCGATCAAAATTTAAATTCTTTTGCTTTCCAACATTTTCTGAGCAACCAAAAAGAGTTTTGTTTCACAATGTAAACACTTAACAGAACAAGCACATACAAGTCCACCAACGAGCCTTTTTGCATGATATATCAGCCACCAGAACAAGCACACGCGTATCTATCATACTTCGAACAAATATATAAACTAAACGAACATGCAGTCCCTAGATTAAATCTAGTAAAATTCATATATATATAGACGGATATATAAAAATATATATTTCAAACTAGGGTTACGAAGACTGATATGTTTCCTGACCTTGAGAGCCTTAAGTCGTGAAGCTGCGTTTCTGTACATGGCGATGATCGATCACTGTCGAGAAACCCTAAATGCGAGAGAGAGATTGTTTTAAAGATTGATATATTGGGCCTATTGGGGTCAGAGGAAGCCTAGAAAGGCCAATGAGTTTCCCCAGAAAAAAGGACTCCGTTCTGTTGAGTTGGGCCTATTGGGGTTTAATTAGAGGAGGCCCACAGACAGTGACCCATACACTTGCGGAGAGTTATTACCATGGGGCCTCACGGCGAGTGGAAAAAAAAAAATTCAATGACAATCAGTTTGAATTAGATTATGGGCTTCAGTTTAATAAAAATAGTTTTCAAAAAGTTAGGCCCTGTTTAGGACGTGGTATGTTATTGTTTTGGGTATTTTGGTTTTGCATTTTGGGCCCATATCAGTTTGGGACGGATTGATGTGGCATTTTTTTGTTTTTTCTCGGTTGACGTGGTATTGAACAGTAAGTACAAAATAATGAAAATTATACTACCAAATTGATAATATTGTTATATTTTGACACTCTAGCGGAAATAACAGGTCCAATCGAATATCAAACTTATATCATATCACTGTAGCAGTGGTGACATCAGCTATATAAAATACTGTAAAATTATCTGAAAATTTAAAAATTGAATCAAACTGGTCCTAGCCTGGGAATAATTGTTGTATATCGCCTAGTTAACAATTTTTTTGAAAAAAAAAAAACACTTCAATCAAATTCAAATTTTAATTTATTATAAATATCCACACGCTCATATTCACGCACAAAAATATTAGACATGCACTGAATGTTTGATAGATTGGAATGATTAATATGGATTTATTTTTTTTTTTTCCTTTTTATTTTAGGATTATGACGAGGGCGTCTCACTCAAGCTCATCATAGCTTTTTTTTTTTTTTTTTTTCTTTATAGTGTATTTATTTAATTATTAATTTTAATTATAGAAGCATAATGACATAACACAAAGGTTTTTTTTTTTTTTTTTCCTGTTTAAAATATGGAGATTCAAAAGAAAGTTCATATTGGTCCCAATTCAGCCATTCAATTGTTCCATAAGTATTAAAATTGATGTTTTTAACAATAAACTTATTTTCTTAAGAAATAATTATAAATTCACGAGTGAGTATGTTAGGATTCGGACTGGCTCCTGCGTAGATATCTTCTGCCTTTGCATACTCTCCATGTTTGTTGCTTTCAAAACAGACAAGTGCTAACAACTTATTTTCATGAAATGTAACGTTATAGCAATATACACATTATACAAGTGTTATAGCAGGTTCCAAATCGTAAAGTTGAAGATAAAAAGAACAATAGCAGGTGGATGGAATGATTCAACAAGCCAAAGAATAAGAACAGTTCTATGGATGATGCAAATGGTTGGCCAAATATAAACCTCCAATTCCCAAAATTCTAAAATGAGAGAATTAATACTCTTTAAGAGTCCCAAAATGTTCAGCATTTTTTCCTGGTCCAAGTTTTTAATTTCATGACAAACACAAAGTTTTCAAGGGATTAAGTGTACGTACCCTCTGAAATAAGAGAATATTCTGATCCCTTCTTTGCAGAATATGGACATAAGTAGCACAATAGTGGACATTTTCCACTAGTTGCTGTCAAATTCTGGAGTTTTTTGATGTGAAACATTCCATGTTCATCAGCATTTGTGTGTCGATAATGATTCAAGAAATGGACCTCCGTACCTCACTACATCATACTTTACTGCAAACTGAAATCGCCATATCTTTCATCCTACTTGTCCTACATGATGTTATATATTCCCTCTTATATTCACCATCTTTTATTCTACATGCATCCTTTCTCGACCACTATATATATATATATATATATATATATATATATATTAGAATTGAAGCTACGATTTGCCATTACTCGTTGCAACAACAACAACAACAACAACAATGGCAGCAACGACAGGGGTCATGCAGTTGTCAGGTTTTTACTGCCAGCATTCTCTCGAGCCCCCTAGAATTACATGGACCAAAAATTGCAATCCTCATGGGGTGTCAAGGAGTGAGTTATTATTACTTGCCTTTGAGTTATGTGACAATTTGGTGTACTATACTATTATGCAAATAGCAAATGACCTTAAATAAAATTTTCATTCTGTTGTTATACAGGTTTCTCATGGAACCCCCTGTTTCCCGCCAAATTACTTAAACTAGGGGGCAGCTATGTGCCCAAAAAAGAAGGAATTCAAGTTGTGTCTCCAAACATAGGGACCCCGAGCTGGACAGTCGAATTCCTTGATGCACAGGATGATGAATACGATGGGGTCATAATCGATCCACAAAGCTTACCCACGAGTGCAAATGCTTTTGCATCTGCACTTAGGGCTTCTCTGTCCAATTGGAAGCTAAAGGTTTGATAAATGCTCGCGACATACAAACATATTTTACAAATAACCTGATCATGAATTTATGGTTCTGAAAGGAATTACATGCTACATCATAGACACATAGACCAATATTACAAGACCTAAAAGAATTTAAGCAGCTGATATACAATGTATGGTAACATCCTCTCATGACTCTTCATGGAATGCAAAGTTGTACCACTTGTTCTTGGAATTGCTTTCTTTCACAATTTTCTTTTTGAAGCTATAAATAAAACCGAACATGGCCTAAATATCAGAAGGCGCGCTTAGATACAATAAGTCTGAGTAGAAGATCAATTCCATGAAGTTGTTTTAACAGATATTTTGTTTTCGTATTCATTTGTAAAGCAGGGAAAAAAGGGGGTGTGGTTGAAGATACTACTAGAGCAAGCTGACCTTATTCCCATTGCAATTCAGGTAAATGTTCTGCATATCATTGCACTGATATATATTTGACATACAGTTCTACAACTTGCAAACAATTGTTCTATTCAACTTGTCTCCTTGTTGATCTTTAGGAGGGGTTTAACTACCATCACGCAGAGCCTGGATACGTTATGCTAACGTATTGGATTCCTAATGACTCTTGCATGCTCCCTGATGGCCCTTCGCATCAAATAGGCATTGCCGGATTCGTGATCAATGATAAAGAAGAGGCAAGCATGTTACTATTTAGAGTTACTGGTTCTAATTTTCTGTAATGCTGCAAAATAACTTGTATTTGCAATTATTATGGCATCTAGGTTCTTGTAGTGAAAGAAAATTGTCCTTGCTATGGCTCGGGGGTGTGGAAGTTGCCTACTGGTTATATCAATAAGGTGCTTGTTCTCTGCTTTAAAATATATATATGATTCAATTTTGTTAATTTTGATATTTCTTCTACAATTTCTTCTGCTTTCCATGGAAACTACTAAAGTATGGTTCGTTTGTTACATTTCAGTCTGAAGAAATTTTCTCTGGAGCGATAAGAGAAGTGAAAGAAGAAACTGGTGTAAGAATGTATTCAATTTCAGTCATCATCACCATTGTCATTATTATTGTTTTTATTGCTATTAGATGCAACTAAATTGGAGTTGTTTCTGTTCTTTATCTCATTTTCAGATTGACACAATTTTCTTGGAAATGGTCGCTTTCAGGTGAGATGTCTTTCGGTTGCTAGGTCTGGCCCGCAAAATGTGTTGGGTGGGACATTTTCTCTCTTCTTAGGTTTATGGTCTAGAGAAAAATGGAGGGAAGAAATGGGATAAAGGAATGAAACAGTTTTTGAAGCTCTTTCTATTTAACCAATTTCCGATACATAACAGTGTGAATCAAAATCAAATGAAGTCTTGTCTTGAGTATAAAACCTTGGCTAGAGCAATTGTCAAACCTATATATACATTTGGACATTACTTAATTACAGCTCTAACAGAATGGCCCATAACACTCTGTATAACAAATTGTGATATATTCAGATTCTGTTTGTTTGTTTGTTTGTTTGTTTTGTCATGTCAATTTCAATTCCCCTCTCTCTCATTCCGTAGTTCGAAGGTGGAGGGGTGGGGCAAGCAGGCAAACAACTTGTCATGTCAACTTCAATTCCCCTCTCTCTCATTTCGTAGTTCGAAGGTGGAGGGGTGGGGCAAGCACGCAGACAACTTGTCATGTCAACTTCAATTCCCCTCTCTCATGTCAACTTCAATTCCCCCCTCTCGAAAAAAAAAAAAAAAAATTAAAAGCTAAAAAAAAAAAAATTCGACAAGTTATTTTACACGTTTCATCCGACAGATTCAACTTCAATCTGGACATAAATTTTTGTCAAATATCGAAAAATAAAAATAAAATAATATATATTTTACTTTAAAAGAAATAATTTCAAGTAAAATATTTTACTTTGGAACAAACAGAGCATCGGTGACGAACATAGTTTGATTCTATATATCTATTTGCTTTTCTGTTTACATTTTTGGTTTTGGGGTTGTAAACCTGGCAGACATGCCCATCTTGTGGCTTTTGAGAAGTCAGACTTGCTGTTTGTGTGCATGCTTAAGCCATTGTCCTCCGAGATCACGATCGACGAGAAGGAGATTCAAGCTGCCAAGGTAATTAATCTTTTGAATTTACAGTTTAGGCATAAGATATTCAATAACGTTGCATTTATTTGGGAGAATCCAATCAAACCGATGACACTTTAAAATTTAAAATTGAAAGAAATTTAATTTAAATTTTAAATGAAATTTTCTTTGATTTTAAGTTTATAGGGCTGATTTGGTGGTCGTAAATATAGCATAATTACAATTTTTTTTTCTTAAAAATTATACCATCTCTTTTTTATTACTAAATCATTTGATTCTGTTACTTGCAGTGGATGTCTCTGGAGGAATTATTTGGACAACCATTTTACCAAGAAGATCAAATGATGCAAAGGGTCATCGATATTTGTTTGGCAACGTACAAAAGACATTATAGTGGATTCATTGCTCATCAGTTGATCTCCAAATTGGATGGAAAATTGTCCTACTTGTATTATAATGATACAAATAACATTTAGATACATAGACAATAGTCCTCAGTTCAGATGGAATGATTGATTTACATAAAAATTAAATTAAAAATAGAATTGTATTTCAGTTTGATAGATGAGGTACACTGCTTCTTTTATTTGCTAAAAACAACACAAATGAATAGTAACCTTCTAGAAAGAGATTAATAATTCAAAGTCGACGTCGTTCTTCTAGAAAGTACACGAAGCTACATCAGCCCACCAACCTTCCGCATGAACTCATTCATTTCTCATGACTTTTTAGGCTTCTAAATATATCGGGAATATATGTATATATAAAATATCTGACCACATGCATGACCTAACATTTGACAATCAATTCATATATAAATAGATAAATTACCAGCAAATTAAGTCACGAATAAATAGGCAATTAGGTTGATTAAATTGGGCCTCACTGTATTCACAGGAATATTTGTAATGAATAATTTTTAGTTGACTATTTATATCAAATACAGTAGAGTTATACTTTCTTATTTGTTACATAATTAATCAATTAAAAGAATAGGTCAACTAAAAAATTTTTAATTATCAAATACAACTAAATGGACAGCTACACTTCCTTATTTGTTACATAATTAACAAATTAAAATAGTAAGTCAACCGAATATTAATTTTTAATTGGCTATTTATACCAAATATAATTAGGTGGGATGACTACACTTCCTTATTTGTTACATAATTAACCAATTAAAAGAGTAGGTCAACCGAATAATTTTTAATCGATTAGTTATACCAAATACAACCAAATAGAGGGTTCCACTTTCTTATTTGTTACATAATTAACTAATTAAAAAAGTAAATTTAACAATTCATTGCAATTATTCGATGCAAGAATTATTTTCTAATCATGATTTGAATTGTCTTTTGTTTTATAGCCTTTTTAATAATATCCAATCAAATTTGAATTTTACCATTTCTTTCATTTATTAATAAGATTTATATTAAATGCTTAATATATGTCTAAATATTATCTACTTGCGGCACAAGAAAATAACTTTAAATGAAGCTAAAATATCTGTCAATAACTATACCCCACACAAAACATAACTGAAATAAAACAAACAACAAAATTTAAGTAGCAATGCCAGCTGGTCCCAACTTAACTAATTGTAGAAAATTTTAATTTGAAAAATTACCAAAATGACAATAATAATAATAATAATAATAAATAAAAAGAAAATCTCCCTCAAGTGAACCAAAAGTTAAAAGTTGTAGCAAAAATATATTTAATAAAATTGATACATTTATTTGGATGTCAAATTATGATTGGGTAGAATGATGTAAAAATGTAAGTAAAAAAAATATAAAGAAAGTTTAAATGAATATGGATTAAATTATCTCACCGTCTGTCAAAAAAAAAAAAGTATTTGCCAAGGGCTACCATGACCATTCATACTTTTGTGGAAGAAAAGTCTAATTCTGGATAAATTCAAGGTATTAAATAAATAAATAAATAATAATAATAATAATAATAATTGAAGGAGGTGGAGTAATTAAACCTGTCTTAATAGCATTGGGTCAGTAAAAATATAGTCGGTAGAGTAAAAATTTGCTCAAATTTGACCATTCAAAGCCACACACGTGCACCCATAAATAAATGACATGTGGAACCTTCTTACATGGTTGCTTTGATTCCCATGGCTCCCGGCTATGACGGTTTTTGCAATCCCATGTTCAGAGTCCATAGTTTTGTAAAATGAATAGCAAAAAAGGGTTGAAAAAAAAAAAAGAAAAAAAAAAAAGAAGGAAATTGCAAATCAAATCATCACAAAAAGTAGAGAGCATCTATTCTTTTCTTTTTTTTTCTTTTTTTTTTTTTCTAAAAGGAAACTGTCTTTTTTAATCTGGTAATTTTTTATGCGATATGGTAAACTTTTAAAATTACTCATATATCTTATATATTATTTAAAAAAATCTAAATATTTTTGAACCGTAGTTCGCAGTTCTCTAAAATACCCCTTAACTATTATAAGAGCATCATTATTCTTATTTTTATTCAATAAAAATATATTCAATTAAATTTAAAATTTTAATCAGAAATTATTATAAGGGCATTATTGTACTTTGAACTAAATATTTTAACTAATACGTAGTAGAATAATCCGAAGAATCTAGAAGGTGGAAATTTCTTAAATGTCCTTGTTTTCCCTCTCTGTCCTTCTACTTTCCTTCCTTTTCTTCTCCAAGTTTCCATGAACCTGACCAAAACTTTCTAAGCTTAAGATCCGTCAATAACAGGAAACGAAACGCAAGAAAATTCAAGCCACCTGTTTCTATACATACAAAAACCACACGCATACATATAAAAACACACACAAACACACATATATAAACAAAACAAATCCTACGAATTTTACAAAAACTTGGGCAAGGATCAACGCTTCCGTGGTCGTGTCTTCATCTTTGGTCAACACTATCTCTTTTACCATTCCTACAAATATACATAGATACATATATATTATTTGTGTATATATATATATATATATATATATAATGGAAGTTATGTATCTTAGTCAGATAAACGAAACAACTCATTTTGTGTTGTTGAATGGATTCAGTGTGTAGTTCTTCTACGATCTCAACTCTCAGGTTGCGTGGCTCTGATCGTTCTAATTCGAAGTCAACCAGTTCGAATTCAAGGACCGGTCTTGTGAGTTTCGCTTCGCAAAACGGAATGGCACTCTCTGTCAATTCTCAGAAGAAGATCCTTACCGGTGACGCCGGTTATGTTCTTCAAGACGTTCCTCATTTCACTGATTACATTGCTGATCTTCCTGTATGCTCTCTCTATCCCTCTCTGTGTGTAATTGTGTGTTTTTTCCTGTATCATTTTGTTTATATGAGGTTAAAGTTTGATTGGACTTGATCACAGAATTTAAGTATTGTGCGTTTTGGCTATAATTACAATTGAAGTTGTTTAGTTATTTTCTGTCTTAAACAGCTGAGTTTTCTTTCATGTTCATCTACGTCTCCTCTAATAATTAAGAAAAATTGAAAAGTAATTTTTACCCCTAATTATAAATTCCCTAACTTTATTGGGGTTAACCTGACATCTTATATATATTGGTGTTTATATGTGTGTTCTTTGCTTGTTGTCTTTGTTTCCAGATTTTTTCTTCTTCTTTTTTTTTTTTTTTTTTTTTTTTTATATATATATATATTTTTTTTGTGCAAGTGTAATTCTGGATTTTAAAATTTTCCATTCCAAAGGTTTTATAGCTCCTACTTTCCAAAGGGAGGTCAGGAGTTCGAGTAGTCATTAGGTTGCTTTCATATCATGATAACAGGAGCAAGAAATTAGGGAATAAAAAGAAAAATTTCAGTATTCTGCTGTAATTTCCAGAACATTGTGAAATTCGTTTCCTTGGACATTCCTTCAGCAATCAAGTGTAGCATTAAAGTTATATCATTTATACGACCATGAAAATTTTACTATTAGGTCATTGATAGTAGTCGAGAATTGAGTTACATTCAATATCATTCTTGTTGATACTGTCTTGTTCTGAAGTAGGTATCCCTAATTTTACTCATCTGTGTTTTTGTTGCAGACTTATCCCAATCCATTGCAAGACAATCCTGCATACTCGGTTGTTAAGTAAGTTGATTTAGAGTCCCTTGCACCTGGTGACTTTTTATTTTTTTTTCCCCCTTATTTACTGTTTCACATGCTTTAGAGCAAGGTTGGTTAGCATTGATGGATCAATGAAATGATTTTTTGTTTCCCAGGCAATATTTTGTCGATGTTGATGACACTGTTCCGCAAAAGGTTAGTTCTATTTTTTTTTTTCCCTCATGACCTTTTTAACAAGAAAAATTAGATCTTTTTGTAATTAATTTCATCATAGATTTAGAAATGCATTTTGTGAGAGTGGATGTGCCTCAAGAAGGTCTGCCTTGACATTTCTGTTGGTAGAGTGGTACCAAAAGATTAGTCTTAATGTCTAAATTTTACACAAAGAAGTTGGTGCCTGCATTTCAAATACAAGGACTGGTTGTCCTTTGATTCCTACAACCAGAAACAAGATTGTTTAAAGATGCATTTTCTACAACCACATTTTTTCCATGAATTGGAGCAGGTTGTATGGGCCCTTATTGACATAATCTGGCCACAATTTATCTCTTTTAATATGTTTTTAAGTTCTTCCTTCATTTGTAGGTCGTTGTTCAAATGAATAGTCCAAGAGGAATTCATTTCCGACGTGCCGGACCACGTCAAAAGGTACGTATATAATTTGCTTTATTTGTGATATTCATAAAATGAGGAACCAAATGGCTCATTTTGATTTACTCTCTTTGATGTTCTTTCAGGTGTATTTTGATTCGGATGAAGTACATGCATGCATCGTGACATGTGGGGGCTTATGCCCTGGTCTCAACACAGTAATTAGGGAACTAGTATGTGGCCTGTACCATATGTATGGTGTAAAAAAGGTTCTGGGGATAGATGTAAGTGACTAGTACATTACCATTCCAATCCTATATCTTTCATGCAGTTAATTTTCAGATAATATATTTATGGGTGCACTCCCCTTGTTTAAAAATTGAGTTGATGGGGATCATTAGTCACTGGCTTGTTGGAATTTTGGCTACTTCTCTTGCTTTTGAGAGCAAAAAAGCAAAGGAATTTTTCTTGAAAAAGGAATTAAGTTGTTTAGAATGCCAGCCAAACAATGCCTTAGATTAATGCTTATTCTCACCACTCTGTATATTTTTAAGAATTGCATTCGTTAATTAGTTGAATAGTATGTGAGAATTCGATGCATAGGGAACTGCTAATGCAGGAACTATCTGCATGGTTTTCTCCAAATGATACCACAAGTATATAATGATATTGTTGATTTGAACCAGCATCCCTAGACAACCATGTCTAGATATCTATAAACTGTACTTCAACAGTTCAACAAGAAAATGTTTGGTGGTTTTCAAATATTTTTTCTAAGTGGCCATTAAACTTAATTATGTTAAACGCAAATTCTTTAGATTTCTGTTTGCATATTATCAGATTAAAGTGAACCACTGTGGGTACTTATGGCCTGAAAGAGTAATTTTATTTTGGGTCATACAATTTAGGACAATTTTATTTTGGGTCTATATATTATATTTAATTAATTAATTTATTTATTTTGTGAAGAGATGCACCAATGAGTCTACTATATTTATGGTCTCATCACCCAGTTAATGTAATTGGTGGATCTGTACTCTGTAGGGAGGATACAAGGGTTTCTACTCTCGAAATACCATCAACTTAACACCCAAGGTTGTGAATGATATTCACAAACGTGGTGGAACAATACTTGGGACGTCACGAGGTGGCCATGATACTATAAAAATAGTCGACAGCATTCAGGACCGGGGTATTAATCAGGTATGTTGAAGATGCAACTGTACACTTTTCAATTTGAGATGCCAGAATCATTGGTCATGCTTTCCTTTTCTGCATTTGTTATCACCTAACCTTCAATGCATTAATATTGCATTTATGGCTTTCTACATGTCAGGTTTACATTATTGGAGGAGATGGAACTCAGAAAGGAGCATCTGTTATCTATGAGGTATATTTGGTTGAAGAAAATTTATCATTCATTGCTAGTCTATATTTACTGCATAAGTGTAAATAATTCTTTGAGATCCTAATTCTGACTTCCTTGGTTGAAATCTGTAAAATACATATCTTGAGGGAAGAGGAGAGATCCTCTTCTTAATTTTTAATTTTTTTTTATAATTTTTTTGTTTGTTTTGTATTCTCTTTTCTTCTTGAGGAAAGATTTAAAAGAAATAGGATGACTAGGAGAGAAACTATCTAGCATCCATTGTTTGGTGCATGTTCAAGCTATCGTGGGTGACAACATAGTTCGAATCCTGAGAACGGCCCCTTTGTTTAAATAATGGTAAATGTTAGGTTTTTATCGAGTCCACCCTTCCCAGCTTCCTTGATTAATGGGCAACACACTTGGTAATGACCCTTTAGAAGATAAACTCTCTTTCTCTCTTTGGGCCATCAAAAACTATGACCTTAAGAGTGAGGTGATTCAGAAAAAAGTACAACATTTATGCTTGGGGTGTAATCAATTGAAAAAGAAATGGATTCAACCGATCCCTTTCTTTTTTTTTTTCCTCTCCATTTTTTTTATTACCAAAAATTTAAATACTTTCTTGTATTCTTGTCTTCTTCTCTCTAATTTATCTTCTTTTCTTTCTTTAAAATAAGGAACCAAATGGAGTATAAAACTAATTACCATCCATTTAACTCTTGTCATATCATGCAGGAAATTAGGAGGCGCAATTTGAAAGTTGCAGTTGTTGGAATACCCAAAACTATTGATAATGACATTCCGGTAATCTCATGGCTGGAACAATTCTAATATAGTTCTTATCACCCCTAATTAGTATAAAACAACAAATCACAATTCTTAAAATTTGTTTCTTCAAAATATAGTCTTTCGTTGGTACAGGTTATTGACAGGTCATTTGGCTTTGATACGGCTGTTGAGGAAGCCCAACGTGCCATTAACGCAGCGCATGTTGAAGCCACAAGTATTGAGAATGGCCTTGGTCTTGTGAAACTAATGGGTCGCTACAGTGGTAAGCTATACATTAGAATATGCTATCCTCCTCTGTTTATTAACCTGTCCAACTTCTTCAAGTAGGTGTCTTGTCTTTTATCCATGTCATTGTTTTGGTATATTTTGTTAGAATTGATAAAAATACATAGGATATGGGTTGCATTGTAAATTAGTTCTAAATTGTCTTAGTGGTTGGGGAAGTTCTAAACAATATTTTAAATGTCATGACCGTATGATAATTTTTTCGGTGTTATCTATATGAAACTTTATTAATTATTAGGGTAAAATGCTCTGGCACCCCCAGGTTTGCCTTTATTGCTCATGGATTAAACACACTCCCTGTAAGGTCATGCATATGCTAATTTTTAACAAACTTGGTCAATAATTATTTCTACTAGCTATTTCCTCAATTTCTTTGATATTAATTTCTTGGTGGGCGCAAAGGTGTTATATTTTTGTCAGTGAGAGAATCATCAATTGTGGTTTTGTTATTCCTATGTTTACCTGATCTTTCTATGAACTAAATTTGGACTTCATGTTGCAGGGTTTATTGCAATGCATGCTACTCTTGCTAGCCGAGATGTCGACTGCTGCTTGATTCCAGAGTCACCTTTTTTTCTCGAAGGACCAGGCGGACTTTTTGAATATATAGAGAATCGATTCAAAGAAAATGGTCATATGGTTCTTGTCATTGCTGAAGGTGCAGGGCAGGAACTTCTTTCTGAGAGTTTGCGTTCTAGTGACAAGGAGGATGCTTCCGGAAATAAGGTTCTCCAAGATGTTGGGCTGTGGATATCTCAAAGAATCAAGGTATTGATTCTGATCTAAATTCTTATGCCTATGCATTTGCTTGATATGCTGGTGCGTGCTGTTATTGTTTGAACAAGCATATGCTTGTTTATGCAGCCATATTTATGCAGTTGTGGGGATGTGTGCTTTGAAAATGAGTTTTTAAACCCTCATCTGATGTTAATTAGTATTTCTGATGAACTTGTTACTGCGTTCCTGTTCATTTTGGAACTATATTGATTATGTTTTACCCATGTTGTGCAATAATGCTGATACAATTTTGTACTGATTAGCATTATAAATGCTTACTTTTTGTTTTTATTTCCATTCTGTTGTATTGGTAGACACTTCCAACTGAAGAAGAATTTAAGAGAATTTACCAGAAGAGGGGGAAAGAAAATGTGTAATGGAAAAATTCTCATTTGATTTTATTTATTATTTATGACTGTAAGAACTTGATATGTGGTTCTTTTGGTATCCGTTAACCAGAAGAATCACATCATGGATTCACTAACTGTACAACTCACAAGCATAAGATGCTTGAATTTTTGCCAATTGCATGTTAGTGATTAATGTAAATTCTACTTGGTGGTAAATTCGTGGGTTTGATTTTGCAGGATCATTTCTCAAAACGAAAGATACCCATCAATCTCAAATATATAGGTTAGTGATGTACAATATTATGCTACATCGTCATATGGAAATTAGGAAATGGCTGATCTAACCAAGTCTTGTATATTATTGTCTGACAGATCCTACATACATGATCCGTGCTATTCCAAGCAATGCATCTGACAACGTGTACTGCACACTTCTGGCTCAAAGTGCTGTTCATGGAGCAATGGCAGGATACACAGGATATACAAGTGGACTTGTCAATGGCAGACAGACTTACATACCTTTCTATGTAAGTCGGTTCATTACATAAAAAAAAAAAAAAAATCAATTTATTGCAGAATAGTTAGGACTAATTTTCATAATTTTCTTTTATTTGAAAAGCGATTTGCATGAGAGCATCAATTCAGTCCCTAAATTGTTTCATTATCACCATGTCATGTAGAGGTAAGAGTATGTCTAAAATGACAAGAAGCAGTCCTTGTTTTTTGGCCAATGGTTGGTCATTTGCAGACCCTGAGATGTATGCTCAGGTGGTTTTATGTGAAATGTTAACTCTGGATTCCTGGGTGCTATCTTTCTTATTTGTTATTATTATTATTATTTTTTCAGAAAAGTAATTTTCTTTAGTCATGATCACATTGCTCCACTGTCATAGCGGAGCAGTTCTCATTAATTACTCACGGGCTTCCATCAACCACTTTCCATCTTTTCTGTTTCCTGTATCTGCTTACAACTTAATATAAAGTGATTCTGTTGAAAAAGGATTGTGTTGCGCTTGTGACTTTTCATGTAACATCTTAGCACAATGAATCCATATGATTATTTTTACTAAGCATTCTTTAATAAATCCCTTATTTTTACATTTCATGTTGTTAACACCGGCTGATTGTTTGATGGTGTGTGAACAGCGAATTAATGAGAAACAGAACTACGTTGTGATCACAGACAGGATGTGGGCTAGGCTCCTCTCCTCCACTAATCAACCCAGCTTTTTGAGTCAAAAAGATGTTATTGAATTCAACAAAGCGGTAGCCCCAGCAACTCAATTGCTGGACGATGGTCCTTCGGATGACAAGTCGGTCGAAGAGATTAAGTTGCTATGAGGGTGACATTGTTATTCTTGCTACTGTTATTATTTAGCCTACAATATCAGTGGCCATCTCGCTTTAAGTTCATTCCATGTGCCTTGATTCTTGTTGTTTTCTAGTATGTAAGGTATATTAAACCGTCGTTTGCTCCTTTTAAAGTTCATGCAGAAAGTTCACTTATTTGAATCTTCATCTCCGGGAATATGGTGTATTGTTGTAATGAGAATGGTTGGGAACAATCAATTTGTCTGTTTTATATATGCTTATGTTATGCAGTTCATGTTCCATCCTTGGTTGGCAATGTGAGAGAGAGAAAGCAAAAGGAAAATACAGTTTGTTTTCCTTTTTCTCTCTTTATTTAGTTATTATTTATATCTGGACTTGTATATGGGTAGTTCCCATATTAAAATAATTTTCTCGGGAAAGATTTTTATTTTTTAGGTAAAACACATTTTTTAATTTTTTACATTTTCGGCGATTGGTTAAGGTTTAGATTGAGATTGAGATGAAGTTTATCATGCCGTCAGTAGTAAAAAATAACCTGCTGAGTAAATTTTTTTTATTAAATTAAATTTTTTTTCCTGAATATTTTAAAACAATCAAACACCAAAAATTAAAAAAAATATTTTACATTCAAACAAAAAAACAGTCAAATTAACCAACAACTATTATAAAGCAACTTTGAGCAATCCAAGTTATCCAAGAAAGATGGTAAAGCCGCCCCGTCGTGGTAGGGTCAGAATCGATGCAAAATGAAAAGAGTCTTGCATCAAGTCAACTCCATTGTCTATACTGTGCTCACAATATTTACAATTAACTTATGCTTACTGTATAAAATTACTTCTGTTTTTTTTTTTTTTTTATCTCTCTTCAATAACACATATTCATTTGCTTCTATAAGAGGAGAATTTTCTATAATTTTGATGACATAATAACACCAACTAATTAAACGTGATATGTAATGACATGTATTTATTCTTATACCCTACTATAAGTATCTGCTTTCAAATAGAATTGGCAAAGATCAAAAATGAAACTTCATTCTAAACCCCATATTTAGGTTTCTTTATAGACTTTGAGGGGACCACACATTAAATTTAAATTTAAATTTTTTTTTTTTTTTTTTTTTTTTAAGGCACGGATTGGCATGGCCCCTACCCTAAACCCCATGTAGGTCCACTCATTTCAATGGCAGCTTGAGTACATGTGATGCATGATTTTCAGACACTGACGTGGTGAAGTTAAAGTTGAATTTGAATCCTTATGATAAGCTTAATGGTTATTAGTGTAATACCACTGAGTTCTTGTTGGATGCTGAATAAAAAGAAATGAAAAGTTAATGGTAGTGTCATTATTTGCGCAATCTTGAGTTCATCTAATGCACCATTTTCAGATACTGACGCCTGTTTTGAAGTTAAAATGACTACTGCTATGCCCTCCCTATGTATATGATATTTGGGAGAAAAAAAAACACTGCTTTTAATTTTCTACCAAGCTTGTTATGGATCAGGATTGCAACTGAAATCCTGATCCTTGTACTAATCTCTCTCTCTCTCTCTCTTACACACACACACAATTCCCCTCAGGTTCATATAATTACAAAAACATGGTAGTTTGTGCTTTTTTTTAAAGTATCCCGTGTGCTTAATTGTGCAGTGTCAGCTCGATATAATTTTCCATATGGAGAAAGCACATTTTATGCTAGAGGAAATGTTCATGAATGGTTTGTATTATCGACACAAGCAAGTCGGACATTCTAACTCCAATACAGCTGATGGACAAAGCATCATAACCAGGTCCATCCTTCAAAGGTGCCAAGCTTGCACTGGGAATTCTTCTGAGACACAGTAGGACCGCTTCGCATCTGTTTTTATTTCCTTATGTACAAACAACAAACCTCCATCCACATTTTGTTCAATGGAAAAAACTGGTGGTTGATTGAATATACGTTCCCTGCATTTTGTGACTGTGTCTGATAAGTTAGTAGTAGTATCGTTCCTGTTCTGGTTGAGAAATTCTTTGCAACAATTTAGAATAGCTTTCAATAAGTGGCTCCATGGTGGCCACTGACTTTCAGAGAAGAAAACAAAAAATACATGGCAACTTGGGCTTAATCGAGGCAGGGCAAAGAGTCATTTTCTGGATAGCTTGGAATTTTGGATATTAATATATCTAACTAGTTGAATACAAGCACTGATCATTATAGACCCTATGATACTAACAACCATGGTCCCAACTGATATATACAAAAAAATGTTCAATGATACAATAAGTTGTAGAGAGATTTGTTGAATAAAACTAGGGATCAGAGTATCAGGTGGTCGCAGGCCTCCCGTCTTTCCTAGGGTCACTAACAGCGGTAAGAGTTCCCCGGAACACTTGGTCTTTAGAATCCTTTCCCTTTTTCCGACCCATGTCAATGGGGGGCTGAAGGGTTTGAACAACAAGCTGGCAGATGGCTCCCCCACTCTTAGCCTGCAGTTGATGGCCCCGCTCTTCCAAGAAATGCTGTCTCTCCTCTGGGAGCTCTATGTGATCGCCATCGATCACAGTCCAGTTTTCATACAAAACCACATTTGGAATTAGCTGCACAAGATTGAGACCAAATTAGTATGTGGTGGTTCAACTTATACCAATGTATTATATATATATGTTCAGTGGTTTAATGTCAAATCAATTACATCAAGCCACTAACCTTGTGGTAGACTCTTGGATACTGAACGGCAGACAATGGTTCCATCCCAAAGATAAAATGGTTAAGAAAAACCTGGATGACCGCCGGGATTATGTATAAACCACCACTACCACCAAGGACCCCAGCCAGCTGATTATCCTGTATAGGGAGCAAAATGAAGAATACTACTTAAAGAAGGATACATTATCAAAAGGTTAAGTAAAATCTCTTTAAGAAAAATCTCTTTGGAAAAAAAAAAAAACAAAGAAAGAAAGAAAAGTTTTTATCATTCTGTACCTTGAGAACGATGATTGGGCTCATGGAGGACAAGGGTCTCTTGTTTGGTTTGATAAAATTACTTGGAGCAGGAGGGAGTCTGTCAGGCGATATTTCAGTTGGTGTCGAGAAGTCATCCATTTCGTTATTGAGAACAATACCAGTAGATGGGGAGAGCACCCCACCTCCAAAACCATAATTTACTGTAGTTGTCATCGATACAGCATTTCGATCAGCATCTACAATGCAGAAATGGCTGGTTCCATGGTCTCTAAGCTGACTCCATCTAAAAATTAAGGAAAAAAAGCCTCAGAGTCATCATTTCAGTGACAACGCCAAGAGTATAATTAAGCATATTGCTAAATTTTAGTGAAATAATTAAGGTACACAGTTTAACCTGTGCATATAGTATTCAGGAGGGAAAGTGGCGTTGTCAAATATCTTTTGCTGAAGCTTCTTAGCAAAAGAAGGGGAAAGCATTTCAGACATAGTTTTGCTAATATTTACAAAGTTGGGGTCACCAAGGTTCATTCGGAGAGCAAACATGTGTTTCAGTGCTTCAATTAGGCGATGTAAACCCAGAGGTCCCTTGGCAGCATTGGTATTCCCGTAGCTATCTAAGATGTTTAGTACCTGCATCTCACCAACGTTTACAGATATGAATTCCAGATACCGCTAGTTAAAGAAATCTGGGGCAGTAATAGCACCCAAATTAAGATATGAAGCAGTTTTAACGTCTGACATTCTACTAGCCAGATCTAGCCAAGTTGGTTTGAGTGATTAGCATATGTGCAGTGTCACGTGTGCATATATTTGTAACGTACTAATCGATGCCAAAGAAAGGAAAAACACGCACCAGAGAAAGCCCTAGTATTCCACTTGATGGAGATGGCATTCCTAGAATAGTGTAGCCCATCACATTCACAGAGAGTGCATCGGTTACCACCACTTTGTAATTCCTCAAATCCTCCATTGTCAAAATACCTCCAGCCTCTCTCACATCCTTGACTAACTTTTCACCTACTGTTCCATTATAGAAGATTTGTGGACCTTGTTCTGCTACTGCCTCTAAGCTGTGGCCAAGCTCCACATTGTAGCATGTCTCACCAGCTTGTAACAATTTCCCATGCGGTGCAAACACTTGTCTTAAGCCAGGGTCAGCCAGGATCATCTTTGCACCTTTTGCAATGGCTAATCCAAGATAGGGAGCAACTACAAACCCTTCTTTGGCAAGTTTAACGGCCGGTAGCAACAAAGTCCTCCAAGGCAGTCGCCCGTATTTCAACCAAGCTTCATGAAGGCCAGCCAGCTCACCTGGAACGCCCATAGCGAGTGCACCTACATACTTGGCCTCGGGATTCTTTGCATACATGTTCTGTTGATTAACAATTACATGATCATGGAACAGCCAAGATATTTAAACGAAATGATGTCACTTTTTCTGAGGGAAAACGGTCTAATATAAGCATACGCAACTTTTTTATTTTTCTTGCTTCATGTAATATTCTGAAAAATGAGAATTTGTTGTAGATTTTTGATCTGAAAGAAAGAATTGTGAACCTGTGAAGCTGCGAGAGGAGCAGTTTCCCTCATGTCAAAAGCTTGAGTTTCTGATGTTGATGAAGATCGAACAACCATGAAACTCCCACCTCCTATTCCACTTGCCATCGGATTGACGACACCAAGGCACAGTGCAGTTGCCACAGCAGCATCAACTGCATGCCCACCTTGTCTAAGCATTGATGCACCAATTTCAGAGCACCTAGCATCGTCAGCTGCAACAACCGCCCGCTCTGACTCAACGATGAAATCATCCTCAATCTGCACTCTTGTCTCATACTTGTTCACACCTCTCAGTACTAAAAAGCTGAAGTTGCCATCTATTGTAAGAATGACAACATCTGTAATGCAAACAATATGACATCATTGAATTAAAATGAATTCGCAAGAGCATAAACTATAAAAGACCAAAAATAAATTTCAATAAAATAATAAGCATATAACAAGTGCCGATGGAGATGACATTTTCTACAAACAAACGGAGTTACAGAGAATCCATGAATCCCTACACGGAAATATGGATTACGGACAATACTCATGAAGAGAATATGTATACGACGCATCCTAGTATATTGAATTCAATTTGGGAAAAGAATTGATTCATAATCTACCAGTTCCGCGCTCACCTAGACCCAAGTAAATTTTATTCAATTTAAAAAAATTCAGCATAATTTAGATTTAAGTCCTATTAAATTAATACATGTCCTTGAAAGGTCATTAAACACCATTTTCATCCAAAACAAATCTTCAGCTCAAAAAACAGTATATCATTACCTGAACTTAAAAAAAGAATGATCAATAAAACCCCAAAGGTAACTACTAAGGATTCTAGAATCAAAATCGAATTAAGTCCCGGATTTCCTTCTTCACTAACCCAAACAGGCTTGCAAGGATTTGTAATTTTTATAGTATCTTTAAAATTTTGAGAGAGATAAACTAACACTAAACATATGCATGTCCTAGGTCATATTGTGAATCGCAATCCAGATGAGTTCAAATTAGGGTGGACAACAAAAATCCCCTCAAAATATTGCAAATTGAAAGCAATTCCTTCCATTTCAGTTCTATTCCTTCACTTCAATTTTGATTAAGCTCACCCGAGTTCGAGTTCACCATAACAGTGTCGATTTGCGATGGAAAAGGGAGCCAAATAAACCGATCATAAAAACCCAGACACACACAGTCAACAATTACGGTGCTTTGAAACAAAAACATGACAAGTAAAATTAGATCAAACCCGTAAGAAAACAGAACACTCACATTTAATGGTTAAGAATGCTAGGATGGTCAGCAGAATTCTGCGCCAATTCTTCTTCTTGGCCTCCCCATCGTTGCCCAAAAGAGGAGCTTCTATGCTCTGCTGCCCCATCTCTCTCTCTCACACACACACACACACACAGGAGAGAGAGAGAGAGAGAGAGGACGCTAAGTTTTATAAGTAGTGGAGTCTTATGTGGTTGGTTGGTTTGTTTTCAAGGCCTCAAATATGAAAGGAATCTATCTGACAAAATATGCATCAGGTGGACTATATATGTCTCCTCCTCACCAATTATGTTGTGCAGACACACACACACATATATATATATGTTTGTGTATATATTATATATATAAGGGTATATAAAGTATAAACGTGGTAATTGAATAGTGGGTCTAAAGTCAGGTTGTCAGGAACAGAGAAGCCCCACTAATGTGTTTTGTTTTAGCAGCCTACTATAGTATTTTGTTTTGGTTTTTCCTTTTTCCTCCATGAAGGTGGGACCCGAAGATAACTTATTCCAGTGAACATTCAGCAGGCACACGAACGAAGACTTGAATTCTAAGGAACGTTAGTATTTGAGAGGATCACGTGCACGGTAGAGGAGAGACCAAAAACGATCAATCATTCAACTCTATAGGTGTGTGGTTTTTTACACAACTCCGAATTCGTCATCGCAAACGCAGGCACCACCGTTGATTTTAGGGAAAGAAAGTGAAAAATGGAATTAGAATTCCTACTAAATGTGGGTAAAATTTGATGACGTTCAAAATATAAGGATGGACTTGGCTTCCATCAGATCATTTAGATTAGTCATGAAATTCGACTTTAATTTAAAAAATGACCATCAATTTGAAAAATTCACACATTTGGCATTTACTGAGATTCCAAGATAGATGCGTACAAGCAAATGACGTTGATTTTTCAATCGTAACTGGGACCCATTATACAGAATGGACCTTTATGATTCGGTTCTTAATTGGCTATCTTCCGTGAAAGTAATTTGTCGGCACAACGCATATATATTAATATGCCACCACACTTATGCTCGGACCACTTTTTAAGTTGGTACGAAGTTCCAACTAACAAGAACAATTATTACTTAAACCATTAAATTCAATTTCAAAACACCAATTACCAATTTCACGCAATTGAACATAACGTCACTTTAATTGCATTCATTTGAACCCAACCTAACATATGATAACATTGCAAATCAAACATAAATGATTGTCAAAAATTGGAAAAATGAAATATGAAACATATGCCCACAGGCAACATGAGTTTTTCACACACATAGTGATGACAAAAGAAGGTTTATAAATCAGGGACAAACTATTTCTGAGAAAACAACATTTATAGATTCAGAATACAGAAGAGACCGACAGGTGAAGGGTAACCAAAATCAACCCATGAGATCTACCTCTGTTGGCTAATTAGTAACTTGCAGCAATATCACAATAATAGCAACTTCTGGCTTGGAAGAATTTCTGAATTCACAAATATGGAAATGGATGGGCTCTTATAATCGATTCCAGCCAATAACCTTTCAGAAACTATTCACTATGATTTTCTCAAGCAGTAAGGAAAAGAACAAACAGGTATTGAATTGGTTATAACTTATACCAACACCCACTGCTGAATTATGCAAATAAATTCTGTTAAAAAAAAAAAAAAAAAAAAAAAAAAAAAAAAAAACCCACTTTTCTATATATTGGAGTAGAACTTGGTGATGCACATGTAACCGAAAACAACACCCTCTCTCATGCACCACTCACTGACTTGCTATCTCTACAAAAACACGAGATCAATACTATACAAATGTGGATCAAAAAGAGGGGTCCCAAACCTAGTCAATGGATGTGTTTCAACTTTCAGGACTGCCAGAACACATCAGGGTCGTCACTATACAATGTGCGGTCCTGAATCTCTAGGTTAGCAACATGATAATCAATGAGTCTTGCTTGGATAATTTTACACAACACTAGCCCGGAAGGAAGCATCCACCAACCACTCTCATCCCTGCAGCCACAATCACCATAACATATACACAAATAAAATGTTAGATTGTGACAGTATTAGCAATTTCATCACACCTACAGCAAGTAATACTGCCATTCAATGACAATTGCCATTGCAGAAAATAGAAGCTCCTTACATGCTAAAGTTCCAGGATTGAAAGTTTATATGTTTTTTATTCGGTGAGGATTGAGTCTTATAATGAACAAATCCACATATGAAAGCAACCACCTGTCACCAAAAAACAATAAAATAATTCTAATAATAATAATAATTAGAGAGGATACTTCAGTGTTCATAGTTAAGGGGAAAAAACATATTTTGAATCATCATTACAGTATATAAAGAGTGCCAAAAGCAGTTGAAAAGCAGGAAATGATAAAGAGTCCAAATAGAAAAGTAGATCAAGAAAAGGTGCAATCAGTTCTAGTTGCAATGGCCAGTGGACATCATCCCGTAAATAGAATAGGTATAACTAGCAGCTCAAAGACTATGTTCATCCACTAACTCATGAACTGACCACCAAGCATTAGCCTTTGCCTGCTATCTCCTCCATCTCCAGATAGGAGGTTGAGGGTTCAAGTTCTAATTGGGACAAAGTGCATATATGAACGTGTCTTATTGGGGGTAGAAAATTCATTAACTGGTAACTCTACTTACCATATAATAGGTATAACTAGCAGCAAAAAAACTATGTTCATCCACTAACTCAGGAACTGACCACCAAGCATTAGCCTTTGTCTGCTATCTCCTCCATCTCCAGATAGGAGGTTGAGGGTTCAAATTCCAATCGGAACAAAGTGCGTCTATGAATGTGTCTAATTAGAGGGGGAAAAAAAAACTCATTAACTGGTGACTCTATTTGCCTGTCAATCTCTCTCTCGGACAAAACAACACCACCCCCCTGATTTTCTTTCCCACAAAAACTGAACTTATTAAACAACAAAAAGATCCAAGAAATATTTCATAAATTTAAATTTCTTTCAACTTTCACTAGAAAAACAAAATTCCTCCCAAGCATGTGGTCTTGTAAAAACAAACTCATTGCTCATGCATAATTTAGACAAGTAACTCATAATGTCCTCCAAGAAAACAAGGTTGAGTTTATTGCACCTACTTGTTCCTTCATTCACCTTCGCCACTCCCACAGGGCAACAAAGGCATGAGGTGTGACCTTTGAATAACCCAAAATATGTTTAAAAAAATAGTTCGCTTTTTGTTTATGGTTAAGCATGGTGGAGTGAGACGGGATAGAGCCTGAGGGGCTTCAGCTACCACTTTTTGTAATGCTGATGGTTCGGGCGAGACGGGATAGAGCCTGAGGGGCTTCAGCTACCACTTTTTGTAATGCTGATGGTTCGTCACTCTTTTTCTTTTAATAAAAAATTTCATCTTCATAATGACTATTTGAACCAAATCTTGTATACTTCTGTGAGTATTAGGAATTTGGGATTAATTGGAGAAATAAATTAAGTCAAGAGATATCCTCCATTTCAATTTTTTTGAATGTAGCGTCATAAAATTTTGGAGCTTGTAATGAAATATAGGGATTCAATTTTTTTTTTTGGGGGGGGAAGAGGAATATTAGGGAATCCAGATGGGGTCCGTCTGATTTGGTGACAATTGAGCAAGGGTACAGAATAACTTACAACATTTATCAAAGACAGGATATTCCACAGAGCATATACACGTGCAAGACCTGCTGATCGCCTAGGTCCATGACTAAACAAAGCATTGATTCCGGCTGGGAATGGAAATAGAATGCCAAGAGGAAGAATAATCAAAACTAAAAGGAAACAAAGCAGCGAAATAGAGTATAGCTGAAGCAACGTAAGCAAGACTAAGCTAAAATCTCCTAAAAGTAGTATTGAGATGACCAAACCAACAAGATCCTGCAATAATTAAAAAAAATATATATGTTAAGAGGGAGACAGAGAGGTAGCATTTTCAAATTTCTATCAGATACCAGTGGCATCGATTAGTATATTCAATGAATGTTGTACAAGAATTATGCTTACCTGATGACCAATTGGTTTAGTATTATGAATTATAAAAGAGAGAGGATAAAATATATTCTTGTTCTCTCCAAGTTTTTGTAAGCTCTTAATATGTGAAATCCCTCTGAATATCCTTTTATTTGTCATTAGATGTTCGCTAACTCTTAAATGATTCAGTGCTTTGCCCTGATGAGTACTGAGCAACCTGCAAATTTACAGGGAAAGACAATCAAGCCACTATTGTCTCTATCAAACTAACACAAAAAAATCTAGAACAATTTCACATGCAAATTTTACCGTGACTGTTGCTCGGATAACAAAGAACCATCCGGCCCTTCAACTGATGGTTGCACAGTTTCATCTTCAACAGCACAAACAATGAGTCCAAACTGGCGATAACCACAAGCACTAGGAGGAAAGCAAGCCAGATCTACACGTACACCATGGGCACTTAAAGTAGGATTTGCATGTGTTTCAAGCCAGCTGATAACTAGACAAAGAGTTGTTCTTAGATGTCCACGGCGAACCAAACGCATTTGAGCATTTAGACCAGCCACTAATCGGTACCAAATGGAAGGTGGGATAGACTGCAAGGTTATAAAAAGAGAAAAATCAAGAGAATTTCGATGGAAGACACCAGCATGCCATAAGAAGCTATAAGGTATTATAATTCATGAGACATATTCAAATGAATCAAATTCAATTATATTGACAACTAACAAATATCAAACCTGACTCATGAGGCAAGTAAGAATATTGTCGCTATGTAGAGAGAAAGGAGCCATATAACTTCCATCTCCCCCAAAAACTAACGGCATTGGAAATCTTTGATGAAGGCGAGAAGGAAGATTAACTCTCTTTTCATCTCCACCAAGGAAAAAATCCACATATGCAAGCATGAGATCAGATGTTGCAGCCACCTGCAATGAAACACAACAAACATTAAAGCCAAATTTAAAAGATTTTGACTTTATTGAAACCAAAAAGGAAGGATAGCATCATGATACTGTGACAGGTACATCTATAGCATTTGATCATCACATTACGGACCAAGTTAGGGAATAATTACGAGAGTGTGGTTTATTCGAGGCAAGAAGGAAAGGAGAAACTCTATCTAGATTCTTCTCAATCCTCTCATTTTGTTATGTATAAAGAGGCAAAGAGGAAATAAAAGGGAAAATAACATTTAGCAATTTCTCCTTTCAATCTATGAATTCTCCCAAAGTTGTAGACATTCACGTAGAAACAAAGAGCAACAAACTCTCTAATTTTCTACTTTACTAACTTCTTATCTGATTTTTCCAGTATATAAAATGCAGAAAATTTAAGATTTTCTATTTCCTTCAGTTACTCCTCTCTGCACTTTCTTCTCTCTAATTTAAGAACCAAAGGAACTTTTCACTGGCTTCAATATACAAAACTTCAACTAAGGTTGGCACCATTGAAAAATCCCCCACCACCTCCTCCCTTGAAGTTAAAACTCGAAAATTAGGAAGACATTTCAACAATAAAGCCACATTCTAAGCTGTTGGACAAATTAATGGACAATACATGGAAGGAAAAAAAAAAAACAGAGAGAGAGAGAGAGAGAACCTTAAGCCCTTCATAAAGAGCACGTGAACGGCAAGAGCGCAAGCAAGCATGGTCATATTCTGATCGAACAAATTCGCGCAGTCGTTGTATTTTCCTTTTTCTGCGCCATTGCAGCCATGACCATGCAAGTGGATACGAAAGAACAGAAAGGATGCTGTAGACTGATCCTTCCCACCACTGATAAGCAGCTAAACCATTGATCTCATCCACGAATCTGTTGAATGCATCCTCATATCTGCCATAGAAACAATTGATTTAAGAAAGAATCTATATTACGTATGAAAGAGAGGAAGTTTTTCCGGCTTCATCTACCACAGTTTACCCCTTTCTTTTCTGAAAATTATTTTTACCACTTGCGATTGTTGAAATAACAAGTGTATCAATGAACAATATCATTTCAAAAGTTTGATTCCAAACATCCTCATGCACAGAAGATTGCAGAAAACAAGAAATAGGAATAACCGTCAGAGCAGACATCTAACTTCCAGATCATCACACTGGACACACACACACACGCACATAGAGAGAAAGAGAGCTTACACAATTTCCATTACTTGCTCTGGAGGAGAGTGAGGTAGATGCCAAGGCTCACTGAAAGTGTTAGGCCCCATAAAATACATTCTATACACATGACTTTGGGACTCCTCAGTTCTATTTGTTTCCAAAACCTGAAGGAAAAGAGTCATCACTCACAAAGAACATGTATACATATAATTTTGAAAAAAAATACATATTATTTAAAAAAAGAATGAAAGAAAAAAAAAAAAAAAAAAAGCAGCGTGCTTCAGAAGTTAATGGAGCCTGGAGAAAACATGAAAATGTGCCAGAGTATAACAGAGAAAGAACCTCGTTCAATGACTCCAAGAAAGGGAACGAGCGGTCTATTTGCAACCCACGTCGAGTTGGCACCAAGCTTGGTAATTCATCAGCATTGACAAATTTCATCCGAGCAACACTAAGCACCAGAGCTAAAAGGACAAGGAGACTTAAGAGAATAAAACCAAATAACCATGGCCCACCAAAAGTGTATATCAACTCTTCAAGGGCTGTATAACAGTGTGGCATGTGGTATCTCTCAGAAATGCACTTGTAAGGACAAGGAGTATCAGCAACACCACCTGTTAAAAGCAATCATGCAGTCATACAATTGGAAGTATATCACCTTCCCACCTCCCAAATGCAAACCGGGAAAAAAGGAAAAGAAAGAACAATCCAGTGGCGTGTCCCATTATTGCAGAGAAAATTTTCAGCATGAAATAAAAGCACCAGAAATCGATTCAGCACTGAGAAACAAACAAAATTAGAACTACAAGTACCTCGAACAGCAATATATGAAGCACGACTCGGAAGCTCGTGAGATGGGCAATTACGACAAAGTGCTCTGTCAGATCCACTGCCATTCTTGAAAGTCCCAACTGGGCATTCCTGTATTACAGTATGCTCATATGGTAATTATAAGGATTTTATGAATAAAATCTAAGAAACAAACCATCAAAAAATCTCAGCCAACTTAAGCCAGGAACAAAACATGAAACTTGCTACCTAAAAATTTTCTAGCTTCTAACTGACACACACACCAATACATAATTCAGAGTTGTCATAATTTGTTTCTTAAGAAGCCACACGTGTACTAACAAAAAATCTAACAAACAAATCAGTTAGAGAAAGAGGTCAACTAAATTTTTTTAACCCTAATGCTACACGCACCTTTTTGATGCTTTTACTCTGTTTTATATATTATACAATGCCTGTTAACCTTTTAGTCCCTAAAAGAGGTCTAAACAATTTCATAATATGATAAAAGAGCAACAGTACCTGACAAAAGACTCCATAAAGTCCTTTCGGACAAGCTTTTCCAGTGACAGTTCCATTTTCACCAGCATGACCCTGACCTCTGCCTATTCCTCCCCTGCCAAAAAAAAGGGGGGAAAAAAGGTTAAAAGCGCTCAAAATCCAACACTGAAATCTCAATGACATTAGATCCCATCAATTATGAAAAAGCACAATGAGTCCCAACAATGAAGTGAATGACAACAAAAAAAAAAAAAAAAAAAGAACCATGCCAAAAAACATGAGGAAAGTTTAGGTGGAAAACAACAAAGAAGCACTCTGTCTCATCTTTTACAACCGGTGATTCGCTTAGGCAACCACAGGATCAAGAGAAATATCAATTCAAAATTTTCTGTGGGAGTTGAGAAGGTAGAAGCAGAAGCATTTGTGATGTCAAGTTCGACTGTTGGAAGTTCAGACCACTTTAGTGTTCTAACTTGTAATATAACTAGTTGGGTACTTGGAAGTCCAGACAACATAGTTGGAATATGTTAGGTAGTTCAAATCATGGGAGTTATTTTCATTTAACTGAATTATGAATATTGAAACTTAGAATTATTAAGATGCATTAGTCATCCATTTACTTGTAGAAGTGATTCTATATTGGAATATTACAAGCAAAAACATTGGACATAGAGTTATTTCATTTCATTTTATTATTCCCCTAAAAAGAAAACTAAAGGATGAAGTAAATTTTTTTTCCAACACCAATCTTAGGTATTGTTTTGATAACTCAATCAAGCATTACTCAACTAAGTGCCTATGACAACACAATTTAGATACCATTTAAAATGGTAAATTCCACTTAAAATTTTAAGTGGAAGAGACTTCACTTATCACTGAATACTTAAGACACAAATAGATATATATATGTATAAAATAAAATATTAAAAAATAAATCTCAATTTATCATTGGAGCTTAAATTTTACACACTTACATTTAGCTCTTAAAATTTTTAGCACTTCATTTTCAGTTTTATCAATTCTAAATATAAGTGCCCATGTATTGGAATGCGTGTTCCAGTGCAAAAATTACTAGGGTGTTGCATATTTGGTAACTATACCCTTGTCCCCACAGTTTGAAGTAGGCCAAAGACAATGTGTGGCGACTTCGGGAATCATTTGATACGGAAAATTTTAAACAATAGTTTGCCCTTCAGTGGTGAATCCTGCCATGCCACACATGTACAAGTTTGCCATCATGCTCAAGTAGCCAGGTGTAGTTTGAAACTAATAAATACGATGCTCCCAAGTTGAAATTCAACATCCAATTTAATGCATTATTTGGAAAGCCTTGATTGATTTATGAGTTAGAACTGTTTAATAACCCTAGTTGGGTGTTGAGCGCATAATTGTGAAATATGTCAGTTGTTTCTCCATTAAGTGTTTCCTATTGCAAAATTAGTTAACACTTAAAACATTTCATCTCCGATAAGGGTCTTGAGCCAGCGATATTTGACTTACATCCCTGACTTATCACTGAACAAACTCAGTGAAAGGTAGATTTTAGATTAACTTGAAATTTATTCTCAAATACTATTACAATAGTTCCAGTGCAACAAATTCAAAACGAAAGTTCAGTGCTAAACATTCAGTCTAAATAAACAGCCCCTTAGGATAAAGCAAGCTTTAATGGCAGCATTTGCTTATTTAACAAAAGCTTTTTAAAGTATTGCAGAAATCTGCATTTTATTTGTTAGATATATGCAGATGGCAATGCAAGTTTTATAAGGCTCTCAAGTAACTAGTTCCTTGTGATGAAATAATTCCACAGTATCCTGAGGACAGACAACCATAGGCTGATCTATTTGAAAGTACACCTATGTATTTGTTTTGTAAAAGTGCCAGTTATATTTATGAAAATAAAAAAAAATCTTGACAATGTATCCTCTGATATTAATTCCATGTCTGATAACACCACCAGCCTCAAGACTGATAAATACTTGTCTTCATGAAATTCGACTACTTTCTTCCTTCGAGTGGCAACAAAGAGAATTTTTTTTAATCCTTTTTGCCTTCGAATGAGAAGCTTTTAGCTCTAGAAGGAAATATAGTTCCCCTAAATCATGGAGTGACTAAGCATTGTAACTCAAAGCATGTATGAAAGAGACATGGATGGTTTACATGGGGCATTCTCAATTTTTGTGAAGATAATTCAAGGAAGATCAATTTAAAAGAACAATGTGTTTACATAAAATACTTTATCCAAGCCCAAGGCATCCTAGAGGGGAATTGCAAGTTAAAAAAAAAAAACTAGTTTAACTAGTGGTATCCTAAAAGCAAGCACTTTGAATGATGCAAGGATACTACTAGGACATTTATTATTCCCTTTGACCTATCACATGATGATAACATTTTCCAAACCTTTGAGTTTTCATATTTAACATTATAATAAAGGAAGTTAAAAAATTGCATCAGAAAAAAGAAAGCCATTAAAAATGGACTTGAAGATATTATATGCAAGAGATTATTCTATACCAAGATTCATGATCAAATAACTACGATCATCCAATATGAAAACCTTGTCCATCAATTTTCATGTCAAGTGCAGTACTAGAATAGAAAATGACCCTAATAAACAGAATTATATAAAAATTGCATATGCGAAGCTGGTTCATCACGATAGTGAAAAACTTTATACATTAGGTTAGATACAAACCCAATGTGGACAGTTCCTCTGATACTTGCTAAGGGCAGGTACTCATCCCCAATGGGTATGTCTGCCCAATGGAAGTGAACCCTTCCACCGCCGCCACCACCACCATCAGAACTACCATGTCCCCCAATCGTTGAGATAATAGAAGACTCACCAAGGGCCAGTGTATGAAGGAACAAAAGAATAGTTCCACCAGATCCACCCCCAGGACCTGCGCCTAAAATAACCCTACCACCTTGCTTTCCGATATTTTCTTCAAAGCTTTCTCCATCAGCTCTAAGAGAACCACTGATTGACAAACTTGACAATGAGTGCTCCAATGAACCCATCACTGTTCCAGAAAAGCCATCAATTCAGAATGATGTAAAACCAAAATATAAAATTGGACAGGGTCATTGAGATGACGGCTCCAAAAAAATGCTCAAAAGATAAAAGATGGTGAATGAAACAGTCAATTCTCCAGTATAAGAGCTTGGGAACAATAAAAATCACAACAATTCGTTATGCCACAAATTCTCCAGCAGCATCACACTCAAGGACTTAGCAACACCTGTCCCTCATTATAAGGAATAGAGCTACTTACAGACAAAAAGTCCGGAATATATATAGATATATATAAAAGGTTTTTAGCAACTTCAAATCCAAGATGACAATCATTAAAGATTCATTACTATGATAAATGCATAGATAAAATAATAGAACAAAAAATTGGAGCATTGAGTATCACAATGAGGCAAAGACCATGGTTTTAAATGCAAGAGGAAGAGGCAAAATGTTAGAACTCTTCCACGAGATGAAGCGCCATTTTCAACTGTCAAGCATAGCACACATGTCAATTTATAACTAGCCCATAAGAAAAAGGAAAGAGAACTGAATATGAGGCGGCCAAACCATTCTTCCATATATGCACTTTTTTCTTTTTCATTATTTTTTATTTTTAAACAAAAGAGCAGAATATTAACAAAAAATCCAAAAGAGAACGGAATTCTTTTATGAACCTTTAACTAAATTTTCTGCCATTTTGTCATAGAATTAATCATCATGGTCCAACCTCGCAACATGAGATCATGTGCCCAATGAGTGACACGACACGCTTTAAGGTACAGCCTCAAAGGATTTGAACCACAAAGCTCCATTTGCTTTTCCAAATTTAGTGTGGGAAAAGAAAAGAAAATAGAAAGGAAATATTATTTCCTTGTTCAGCTATTATGCAAAATAGAGGAAAAGAAAATGTCAGGGAGTAAGAGAGAAGTATTTAATTATACATGTCTATTTCCTTTTCTTTTTTTTTTTCTTTATTATCAACCATTTTGAGAACATTTTAATTTCTAATCTCATTTTAAGCATGAAAGAGGATGTGAGGAAAAATCATTTTCCCATTCCTTTATCTTTACCATTTTTTTCCCCTTTCCTTCATTAAATTTGAGAAACAACCTGAGCCTTAAGGCTGCACCTCTTGTTGTTTTCTTTCAGCCTTGTCTAAGTACTCAACTCAACAAAGGCTTTTCTCAATAGGGGTCAGCTACATGAATCCTGATTCACCATTCCGTACTGTCTAAGGCTATAGCCTCAACTAAACCACATGCTATCATTTTTCGTAAGTATTTCAACCCATATTAGTTTTAATCTTCCATTTCCCCTATCATTGCCCTCAATAAGGACTATGTCACCTGTCTAACCGGTGCAACTATTGGCCATTGCTGCACATTTCCAAGCCATCTTAACTGGTTCTCTCTCATCCTTCTTGTCTAAGTGTACGACAAATAAATAAGAGACAAAATATATATAATTCAACTCATTATATTAAAAATCTTACCAATGACACCACCACCTGCAGTTGCACCAGCTAGACTACTGTTTCCACTTCCACTGCCAAGTTCACAAGGCAAATCAGCATTCCCATATGCAACACCACCCTCAATCAAACTGCCATTATAGTATCCATCCCCACCTTTGCCGCCATGTCCACCACCTCCACCAAAACCATTGCTTAAAAGTTTTCCTCTGCCCACCCCACCATTGCAGCCTGTATACATACCGAATGAAAATTTAAAAAAACATTATTTAAAGCCAGAGTATGTGTTTTGTATCATTGTAAAATTCACTTTAACAAGCTTTAATAATAAAAGAAAATATGGAACTAGAGAAATATGATTGAAGGAAATATATCATATCCACTGTTCATTACCCCATTTCAACCTCGATTTTGCTGTTTGCTATTTGTTATGAATTTTTTTAACAGGGACAAAGAAAAAAGAAGCATACCCAGCCCAGATGCACTTATTGATCCAGAGGGTCGGACTACTACAGTCCTAACCCAGTGTAAATGAACAACAGATCCTTCTACAACTCCTTCAACAACTATATCTTCAACTCGACAGATCTGCAGAAGCAAACCAATTCGACCATTTACAAAGAAAGGCAAAGTGTATCACGACACACTCAAACATGCACTGCTCTGGCCAAGATAAGAAACTGTTAACAAAAATATAAAATAGAAAAATCTTCTGAGTGTTTGATATTAACAGTGGAAAACCTGAAGAGTGAAGGACAATGAAGAGTTCAGATTGCAATCTTCAGGTGGATGAAGCAGTTCCTTAGGACAATCCTGGAGTTCACAGTAGAGCCTTGGTGTCCTACCATTTATCAAATTATAATGAACTGAACAAACAATTGTAACATGAGCACAAATCACGATTCAAATATTGTATAATCAATCTTACACATAATTGTTACTTGCATTCTTCAAGGGACCTCTCAAAATTGACCCATGCCCAACCTGCAGGTAAAAATGAACAGATTCACACTGTAACCAAACAAATCAATAATGCCAAATGATAAGCTTAAAACTTAAAATCAGTCAATACATCATGTCAACAAAATTAAAAATTTAGGAAATGTGATTAGTAAACAGAGTAATGAAGAAGAAGAAGAAGTCAACAAATATCTACGGTGTATTCTGGAGTCGTCGTGATTGAAACATGAAGACTGATGAATATATTGACAGCTATGGTGTATTCTGTGGTCTCAGCAAGCACAATTCATAGAGAAGAGCAAATATTAAAGCTTTTTCTCTACTCTATGCACTAAACTAGTAAAGTAGAATAGTTATTCCACACCAGGATCGGAAGAACAGCACTAAAATGTGTTGTTATGCACTGTTCCAAATAAGGATAGTCTATCCCAAACGAATCGGAGACTGAAAAGGCACTCCAATCCACTCATGGTTCTCAACTCCTGTCCAGGGTTAACACCCTTTCCTCTTTTCACAGCCCTATGATCATAGCTGCCAACGGATTCCAAAATTCTCATGGAGATGAAAACAAGACTCTAAAGGTGAGACTCTGTCTGAATGGGATGGATTTAGCCTAAAAATAGAACTTAACGAACCACAGGTCAGTTTTTCTTTCTGCAACCCACAACCAGATTAAGACTGACCATCTGAAACGGAACTGAAACAAACCGACCCTCTTGGGTGCAAACAATTCCTTGAGGGGAGGGTGTGTGAGTATCAATTAGGAATATATATATATATGTGCTCACTATAGACAGTATTTGATGGGTAGAAAATCCCAATTCTCATTGAGTAATTAGAAATAAGCAAAATAGCAATTTGATACAATTTAAAGGGGAATCCTTTCATTAGATGCAAAAATTTGCATGTTGATTGCATATTATCGTCCTGAATCTTGATAATCCCACTAACAAAAGCTAGTAAGAGAGACAAACTTAATACTTTGAAAAACAAAAATGTATTTATTTCGTTCTTGATTAATCACATTAGTTTCCAGGAAGAAATTAAATTGCCAATAACCTATAACTATATACATAAAAGAAAGCAAAATCCTTGTCAGCTGTAGCCTTTGAAGAAAAAAGCAACCTTAAGTAAGTGAGAACTCTTTGGCTTACACTGATACTGTAAAACAATGATAAAACCAAACGTTGAGCTTCAATCATATCTCCTGGTCCAGACAAGTTCAACGAACCTTGTCCATGAACTCCCAGATTGGTATTCGAATGTATCACAGATGATTCCTGACAACCAAAAACCGTCAACCATGTCACACAAGAAAGCAACATGAACTGAAGTTCAAAAATTGCAGATAGAAGTGAGTAGAGTGATTTACTCTGAGAACCACTAAATTGCTGGCCTCAAGCAAGGAAGTTGCAACAATTGCATCACCATCACCATCTATAACCATTTTGGAATTCCACATCAAAAGGATTTTGACGGCCATCCGCAAAGCCCCATATACCTAAATTGGAAAAATAGTAACAAGGGCATAATACACGAGTTACCACTAAAACAGTAAGAAACAGGCTCCTACCAGGCTCAACTTCCCAAAGGGAGGTCAGGAGTTCGAGCCTCGGTGGAAGCATGAGTGTGTGAGTACCAATTAAGAAAAAAAAATTAAACAGTAAGAAACATAAAAATACACAAAAAGGTAGAATTAAATTGCACTTATTACATATGACAATGGGAATAGGCAATTTTTAAAACACGTTAAGTAAAAATTACTAATGACTCAAGGCGGCTCATTAATTCAGCAGGCAAATGAAATAGCATCACCACAAGAGTGTGTATCAACACAACCTTATTGTAAGGGCATAGTCAGCATGTTTCAAAATCATGGTAAAAACTGAACAACTGATCATGGTAAAGTGAAAATTGGGAAAAACATATATGAACAATCAAGCAAGGCAATCAAAGAACATAGAGATAAAATTATTTATTTCAGACTTACGCAAAAATAAATAAATTTTAACTCCGAAAAAAAATTAACATTACAGTAACTACCTTGGACAGCCACATCCTTTGGAACAAATATATATATATATATAACATTTTTCTCAAGTGATTGGAGCAAGAATAATCAGATATTTGTGATGATACAGACTTGTGAAAGTGACTGTAAATTATGTATTCTCCACATCCTAGAGTAATTTGTATGGACTTCATACCCTGGAGCAGTTTGTTTGCATTGAAATTATATAGAATAATATTTAGTCAAAGTCTGAATGTCAGGTTTTCAAAGTGACACCCTCTAGAGGTTCCAAAAGTTTATTATTTGTCAGGTGAGAGGCCATTGAACAGAGGATGAGATGTTTTGGCATATTTATGAAACATTCGAAGCATAGGTTCATCTATTAACCCCCATTGTAAAAATAATTCAGCTTGTATAAGAAAGCTCTTTTAATTGAATAAGAATCAAACTGCAAAGCCAAAATATACAAGAAAATTCACAGCGCAACAGGTTACAACCAAAAGAATGGAAATGAAAATACACACGGATAATGATCCATCACACTTGCCTTGATCACAGAGTCACTCATTAAAAGCTCTTCTGCCATTAGCTCAAACTCAGATAAGGCGTAATGAGCAAGCCCAAAGCTTAAAACTGCGCCACATGATAAACTAAGTTGTCCTTGAACCTATATATTGAATTAGCATATTAAGATCTGGAATAAATAGATCATCTTGACACATCATGAGTAATATAACAGAATTGGTAACAGTTGCAGAGAGAAGAAAGCCGTGAACTCAGGGAGAACATAATTAAAATTAAAAAGCAACTGAGGTAAAAGTTTCTAAAGAAAAACATCTGAGAAAAACAAAATTCAAATTTTAACTAACAAGAGATGTAACAAAAAGAATTAACTACTTCTAACAAGAAAAGTTCATTTATAAGAGCATATGATGAACAAATACACCTGCAATAATAGAAGAGATGATAGTTGTATAGGCTTCCATCAAAACGAATAATAAAACACATAAAAAAGAAAGGAGGGGAGGCGTCAAAGGCTGAATAAGAGCATAACAAACAGAAGAAAAAATGGAAAAGAGGATACTTGCTCTTTTAGGAAGGGGAAAACAAAACTCGACAACATAAGACTTAAAATACCAGCTTAAACACAGGAAAGATGAAGACCCAAATGTGTCCTGAACCATTCTTTACTGTCCTACAACAGTTTTTTCTCTTTTAATTTTTCCGGTAAAGGGTAGGGGGAAAGGCTCACCAATAAAAGGGAAGGGGAGGCAAAGGAAACCCCTAGTTGATTAGCTATCAAATGTAGGACAAGTCCTGAATTTACATGGTATCTTCTCCTTAGAAGCCCCTAAAATTTGAATCAGTCATTCCACCATTACAGATAATCAATATATTGATTACTACATTCCTTCTGGCTCTGCTTATCCCGTGATCTATTTTTTGCAGTTTACATTCATTTAATCCTCACATTCCCAAAATGTGTCACATGCCAAAGCTGGATATGGACCTAGGCCAAAAGAATTAGCTTTCTATGTTCAACTACAGAAAACTTTTTTATCTATATGTTCATAAGTGACATGTGTAAAAGAGAACCATACATAGGCAGTTGTCCTTGATAATTAACTCCCAAAAAACCTGGCCCCAACATGAACCATATGTAATCCCAAGCATCATATCATGATGACTTATTAAATAATGAAGCACGGCGTACTTATTAGTCCAGAACGAAATTCCATTAGTTCTCAACTCAACTTAACAAATCTTTTCCCCGACTATTCAAAGTCTGCTACATGAATCCTTCTTCGCCATTTTATTCTACCTAATGTCATAGTCTCAAGTAAACCACATGCTATCATATATTTCTCAACTATCTCAACCCACATCACTTTTGGTCATTCCCTCCCGTAACATTATTCTTCATAAGAACCACATCACTTTCCCTAACCATGCATCTATTGGGCGTTGTTGCACATAGCCCTCTTAATCGATTCTCTATCATTTTACCTCCAATTGGTGCTACTTCAACCATCTCAGAATACCACACATCCATCTCAACATTCACATTTCACTTAGGTGCTGTTTAATAAACTGAAAATTTTAAAAGCTGAATTTTAAGTGCTGAAATTTTTAAGTGGTAATAAAAAATGAGATTTTTTTAGATATCTTTTTTAAATTTTAAGTGTTCCACATTTAGTGATAAGTGACATCACAGTCACTTCAATTTGTTTCCCCATTAAAAGCGGCGCTTAACTTTTAAAGTGATAGTCAAATTGAGCTATCAAACACACTTAATTACAAAAAAATTAATCTGTTCAGAATTAAGTGCTGAATTGGGTTGTTAAACAGCACCTTAGTTTATGAGGGGGGTGTTGTTTGCTAGCTGCCCAAAATTCTATCCCAAAAAGTATGGGTAGTTTGATACCTTTTTTTAATAAATTTTATTATTTTACCTTTCAATTTTAGAGGTAGATGCTGATCACATGAGATGCCAGAAGCACTCCGCAATTTCACCGATCATGCTTTAATTCTATAATTAAACCATCTCAAATTTCTCCCCTCTCTATGCATAATCAAGCCTAGGTAACAAAAAATGTTCACTTTTTGGTACCAATTAACAAAATTTATAGAATCCATTAGCGATAGTTGGAAATCCTTGAAAGTGTCCCAAACTGGTTTCAACCCATGTTGAGAAATTTCTACTATATTGACCATCAATAGAGAGAGAAAGAGATGTCCTACATCACTAACTGATGTGGCATATTTGTCTGGTTAAGAAGTCCAGGGGACTAATTCCGTAAGAGGACACTACTACCTAGACCCCCTATTAAAGGAGGAGTCAGTCAACTCATTAAGGTATGACACAATTCTCATTAAAGTGTCGTTTCTTCTCCCCATTTATCGACAAGTACTAACTTGACCGTCGGAGTGCACCCGGCCGGCACCATCCCGGTCGTCACTTCTTTTGTCTTGCAAGAAATGCCCCTGGCTCTAGACCATGCAGATTTGTGCATCAACACTTACCATCCAGCACACATGACATATCCAGTAGTTCCAACAAATTACTTGTGTTAACACCTCTACTTGCACTCACTAAGGTTATTGGAACATATTTCCCAAATAAAATGTATCACTGACCAGATATAGGACCTGAAAAGGATGATAAATTTGGGGAAAAGAGAACATTTTGATGCATGATTAGGATATCACTTTCCAACAGAAGATATTTTGCCTCAATAATAGACTAATCATTGCATAGAAAATGATAAGCAAAGAACAAATTAAAGCAGGAAGACTCCATACTATTAATTCACCAACCTGCACCCGACTCCAAAGCAAAGGAACAGTAGCTTTTGCATGATTTCGAATATAAACATTTGTCCAAAGCGGCTGATTAGGAAAGTCTAAAAGAAGTGTATCAGTATCAGTAGACATATTGTGATTGCTGACAACGAGCCTCCGAGGAACGGCATCATAAAATGTCCCTGCAGCACCTGAATTTCCAGGACAACCGAAACTCCTTCCCCCTGCAAACAGGAGGACAAGCATGTGGTCACTTAACATGTTTACATCCAAGTACAATCAAATGGTCACAAATTCAACAGTGACAGACTCCTGAAGGAAAAGTTGAAGTAGTTCCATCACCCAACATTGTCTTAGCTATCTAGTAAAAAACAAAACCTGACAAAGTTCTGATCAAAAGCATTAAGAAATGGAATATGAAACATCATATTGAGTTCCTCAAGGGAAGAAGCTAAAACTGAATTGAAAAAGAATTCCAGAAAAAGAGGATATAGAATGTGCTGGTAAGGCAATATCAACTGCCAACAAATATGACAGCCTTCAACCTACCACTTGTCAAACAAGAGTCAAAACATTAAGGTGTCAAAATATACTCAGCCATGAAGATAGCTATACACTTTTGGACAGGATGACTACTGATACTACCTAACAAGAATTACCAAATGGACAAAGCCGTAAAACTAGTACAAAGAAACAACTCATCAACGTGTATAATTATTTATAGATTAGCTGCATTATAGAATAATAAGTTACTAAAACATAAAATTTGTATATAATATATTGCAGGGTTTTGGGGCTGTTAAGAAATGTTTGGTCGATGTTAAGAGGCTGTTCTGATCCGTGATTACCTGGTCAATGGGTCGTTTAGCATAGAGGAGAATAAATGGAAGAAGTTGATGGTGATTCAGCAATTTGCTCTGATGAGATCATGAGAGAGGGAGATAAGAAAGGAGAGATGATGGCTCGAGTTCAACCTGGTGGAACCAGGGTTTATGGTATAGACAGAACTGGACTTGTAGGGTTTAGAGGTAGTCAATGGGTACTGGTGGGTAAATGGTGGTTTGACAGTGGCTATGAGGTTTTTATGATTAGAGAGAGGAAAGACAATTGATGGAGAGGAACATAACAACAAGGTAATGTTGAATGGCAATGACAAGCTGTCATCTGTGCACTTGGGCAATTGGTTGGTTGGTGGTGGGTCTTAGAAGAGAAAATGTAGAGGTAAGAACAGAAAGTATAAGCAAACATATGGCAAACTTATCAGCACATGCAAAAATTTTAAAACATCAGTCACCATGCGTGTTTAAGATATCAGAACACTAGATGAAAGACTTTGCTTATAAGAAGAAGTCCTACCATGAACCAAGAATTTGGGATCATCATGCCTACTGAAAACATTGACAGAAACTCTTCCACCACCACCCCCAGCAAATCCATTACCTCCAGAAGCGCTTATTCTGCCACTGCCTATCCTGTTGTTCACAGAGGAATCACTATAGTTAAAAAACGTTTCCAGCCAGTACACTGCCTTAAAAACATGACTTAAAGGATGTATGGAATAACAAAAAGCAGGTCAATATTCATAAATTTCATCATAAATGCAGCAGCACGTGAATAAATCAACATCCATATATTTAGGTATGTCAAGGAAAGATCTGCATACACAATTTACAAGGCCTGGTAGCCAGTAGACTGGCATTAAATTTCATTAGAAGTTCCATATTGTTAAGTGATCAACCGTCGGGCATAAACCAAAATCTAAAAACTTCCTCAGCTATTCTTGTAGTCTATCAGTTTTTATCAAATGTGGATAACAGTGTGGAATACATACTCAGCAAATATATTTGGTTGCATGAGAAACACACTGTATTTATAGAAAGTAAACTTGAATCTTTATAGAGAGGTGATAATTTATAAGGTATAAACAATAAAACTTGAATCCAATTTCCATTTCAGGCAAAACAAGCCAGAAATATTTCTTTTCACTAAGAAAATGGTACGAGTGACACCTCAATCCATGGCACTTGCTATTATGGTCCATTTAGAACTTCTGAGCCGTTTTGCTTAATTTCAGTTATTTCATCTGAATGCCAAATAGTTCATTCTTCTGGTACCAAAATGGCAAGTTTCTAGATCTTAAGAGTCTAATGAATACCTTCTGCATGTTCAGAAGGAGGAAGCCCTATAAGGCTTTAACCCCAAACACATGGTGATGTATTTGAAGAATTGCAAGAGGTGGATATTTGTTTGGAGAGAAATGCGAGAGTTTTTGAAGATAAAAATGTTGACAGTATTTATACAATTTTACTTATCAAAAAAAAAAAAAAAAATGTTGACAGTATTTCCTTATATAGTTCATGTCATGGCCCCTTTGTGGGATTTCCTAACCAAGAAAAATGGAGGTATTCCTCTTTTTTGATCAAGCATGCTCCTCCAGAGTAAAAGGACAAGCTAGAAAATTTGGTATTCTCCCTGTTGGGAAGAACTAGACACACCTTCGGCAGGTGCTCATCGGGTGATTTTTGTGGCATTAGGATTCAGAGTAATTTTCAAAATGGTGAAAGAGCTATCTTCAATTTTTTTCCAGTGTTTTTGGGCGAGGTGATGTTAATTAGGCAGCATTTTGTGCTCTCTTATATGGTTTCCAGTATGTCAAGCAGAATGGTTATACGAATCTTTTGGTTGAAAGAGATTCTTAATGGTAATTAAGCAGAAAAGTCAAGCAGTCATATTAGTTGGAAGTTTTGCCATTACATGACATAGGGGCTAACTTCTATTGAGATGTGGATTAAATTCTCTTTGGTGAATTGTTCCAAAAATAGTCAGGCAGATTTTCTGACAGACAAGGCCCATGTACATGAGAACTTTAAACAAAATTCCAAGTCACCTTGATTATGCTTGTTTGGTTTCTTTTGTCTATGTTTAGTAAGTTTATTTTTTTTTCGTTTTCCATTTTGTCCGTTGAAGGATAACTTGTCCTTACTGTGTACTTCTTCCTCACCTCTATAACCTATCTTTCTTTTCTATCAAGGGAAGAAAATATCAGTACTATTTACTTGAATCACAGAACATCCTATAACCACGAGTCAAACCCATCATATAGGGCCTCAAACTCGAACCCTCCAGAATGGCTAAAAATTCACTTGCTTCACTCAAAGTGACGCCAGTCAATTTAAGGTTTTATCATGCATGCTCACTTCAGACTCTTTTCTTATTAGGTTGCACCAAAATTTTACTCCACAATTCCAGATATATTCTAGTGTCTATGAGGAGCGTTTTTCCATTTACATCTTAATGTTTACTTGACATTCCCTGAAAAAGCTTCGTAGTACCAACCTTATTTGTTCCATAACATGCAAACCAGTGGAAATTAAGCACATGTAAATGTCTTATGTCACATGCAATTATGCATAAATGCAGCAGTTTAAAAGGTGAAAGGCAATTACATGTTATACATTGCACAAAGACATGTCGAGGAAAATTAGCATTTGTAGCTTAAAGATGAAACACACATGCACACACAATAAGACATGGAAAATTATAACATGAGGAACATATGAAGCGCATAACATTACAATCAAAACGAGATTACATTTTATGGGACTTGATGAAGATGCTGCCACCAGAACCTCCTCCTCCTTTGGTACCACCATCACCTCCATCAGCGAAAAGATTCCCACGAACCTCAATATCACCTTCTACATCGAACCGAATCCTCCCACCTCCTTTCCCACCATAATCCTCTTCTCTATTGGTCGTCCCACCCTTACTACCATAACTCCACGGCTCACCCAATGATGACCATGAGTATGCATCGCCACCCCACACATCCTCCGGCAGCTTCATATTGTCCATTACACAACTAGCACCTCTCCCACCATGCCCTCCACCTGCACCCTGTACACCACCAGGTGTTCCACTCGTCTGCTCAGGAGGCAAACCTGCCAACGCTGTAACATTGATCACAGACCCATCAAACAAACTCGCATTCCTTGCTGTTACAGACACTGTCCCCGCTACAATCTCCGAATTCCTCCCCAACCTGAATTCACCATTGATATTAACCAAAATAGAACATCCCGCTATTGGGCAACTCAATCTTGCACCTCCAAGTATATACAAGCTTCCATTTCCCTCTATGTACACATCATCCGTGAAATTCAAACTATAATTTAGCTCACAGGAAGTGTCAAGCGACCCAATTCCCTTCAAATCCTCCTCGCACGATACTGAGGGCGGATGCGGTGGCGGAGACGGAGGTGGTGGGGATGGCGGGGAATAATCACCTTGAAATGAATAGGAAGCATAATCGGAATCGAAATTGACAATCAAAAATTGGTCAACTGAGGCCGAAACAAACCCTAATTGGGGGAAGTAATTAGGGTTTATTAGTAAGAGGTTGAGAATTTGAATGACTAAGAAATGAAAAGCATTTGAAGACAACGAAGCCATCTAAAGAGGGAAAATTTCATCACAGACCGAAACCCTAATTTGAAAAGGCAATTGCATTAACTTCTCAGAATCGGTAACAACAGAGGAACTCTAAGATTTTAGCTAGCAACGAATCGAAACCTCCCATGTTGATTTGGCGATACCTCTAACCTAATCCGATATTAATCATCAACTTAAAATTAAGAACTCAAGAGAATTGGGAATTTTACCATTCTATACAACATGATATATACTCATATATACTACACCCACAAATTGAACAACAATGGCTCGAAAAAGAGAGAAGATGACGAATGAAGAACAGGTGGAGAGAAGACGATGTCTTTGGGACCCACCCATCCAGGTATGCACCATGTCAGCATATCAGTCCATGTCAGATGATGATTAGGAAGTGGTCATGAATAAGTTCAATGGACATATACCCGGGTTGAAGGAAAACAGAACTAGGTTTTTTCATTGGCCGGGAATTCTATAACGATTAACCTCCTTTTTTTTTTCTTTTTTTTTTTTTTTTTTTTTTTTTTTTAAATATTACTAGTAAACTTAAAAATATATCAAGCATTTGGTAAATTAAATTTTTTTTTTTTATCAAATTGATTGATTTTGGTGGTGAATGTTCAGAATTTCTGAAAAAAAAAAAAAAAATGTTCAGAATTTAATTTATGAAAGATGCCAAAATTTACTCAGTATGTCCTTTTTTTATTTTTTAAAAAACAGAAAAGGTAATTGACTGATTTGCTTAATTCATTTTATTAAGTTTTTAGCAAGTTTTGATTCATCAATATTTATGATAATTTAATTGTAACTTGAGAGCGTTGTATTATTTTTTGACAATGCATTCAATAAATGAAAATGAGATGGAGCAGAGGTAAGTTGCTCCAAGTTTGTAATTCTTCTTTATCCCAAAACAACAAAGTTAAAAATATAAAAAATAAATTAAATTAACATGATACTTTTTCAATTACAAATTTTTTTTTTTTTTTTTTTTGTGGAACTCACCACATAATAGTTCTGTGTTTACTTTTTAAAGTCTTGCTAGGGATGGTGAAACAAGTAACAAGGCAATGGATTATCCAAATTAGTTTTTTATAATTTACAAAACTATAGATATAAAAACTAAAAACTATAGTTTTTAGCAAGAAAATTTAGGAAGAGCATTTTCTATAATTTACTAAACACATATATAAAAACTAAAAAATTCTAATGGGCATGGGGCGGGGGCTGACTCTGTCCCGACTGACTATGTTGGTCACAAATATAAAGAGCCACACAAATCTTAAATATATTTACAAAATGTGAACGGCTTTTTGAAAGCATCACACATGATGTTCATAAATAATTAGAATGGTGTTAGCATTTAACAAACGAAATCAAACAAATCTTACGACCATAAAATAAGACTTGTCATGGTAAAAAGAATGGTGAGTTGCTTCAAATTTAAATATTTATTTTTTTGTCATTTGGATATAATATTTATTTTAATCATTTCACAAAAGTGTTTTCACAAGTTTCAATTCGGTTCATTACATTTACTACAATTGGATTGAATTATGTGTTACATTCACTGAATTTTATAATTCTAGAGCATTTACTTTTATGTAATGTTATCAAACAAATAGTAATACTCTCAAAGGGACTCTCTGGTGAGAAAATCTACGAGCTACTCTTTTTTTTTTTTTTAACTCAGATGTATTAAATTGTTGATTTAACTTTTCATACATCTCAAAAAATGATTTTATCTAATAATTAAATAAGAAGAATCATGACTCTTATCATAAAAATGGCTTCTTAAAAGCATTACTCATTAATATATATATATATATATATATATATATATATATATATATATCTTCTTTTTTTTGGGAAAGTGAAATTTTATAAAAACAAAGCCAACTGTACAGAGGCAAACTTCATTTTTTCGGCATATTTACGAAAATGTCTCTATGCATACCCAAGGCATGTTAACAACCTTCCTGAATACCTTCATGGCTGCCGATAGGCTCCACAAACCTCTTTTTGGGAGTGGCATTCCCCTTGTGCATGTGCCTTGTATCGGACAAAGTAAAAAAGCTAACACGTGATTACTATAAGATGTGTATAATATATAAGTGTTACAAGTGGGACTTGTCCCACATCGAATCCGGATGGAAATGGGAATTGAAAGGTGTATAAATGGGTGAGTATGCAGCACTACCCAATAACTTGAGTTTTTTGGTAGATGGGCAAGCGTCCACCCGTTACAGTTGGTATTAAAGCTAGACCCGATTCTTGATCAGGAGTCACGCCAAGCGCTCGGCTTGGAGGCGTCCGAGTCTGCTCCCTGAGTAGATACAGTGGCCTGACAGCAATGAGGGCGCTGCGCAAGTTTAGGTGGGGGAAAATGTTACAAGTGGGACTTGTCCCAAGTCTGCCCCACGAGTAGGCAGGGTGGCCGACCCAACTAGGGCATTGCGCGGGTTCAAGTGGGAAAAAATGTTACAAATGAGACTTATCCCAAGTATGCTCCCTGAGTAAACAGGGTGGCCCGACCGCAACTAAAGCGTTGCGTAGGTTCGAGTGGTAAATAATGTTACAAGTGTGTTCCACATTAGATATAATTGAAAGGTGTATAAATGGTATGTATGTACACTACCCAACAGCTTGAACTTTTGGGATTTGCACGGGTTCGATCCAAATTCCCATCAATTTGTTTGTTCGGCTTGAGTAAAGAATGAGACAGAACTTCATGAACTGTTTTCCACTTTTCTTTATCACCGATATAAAGCTACTCTACCTCTTCGTTATCTTCTTCACAAGTGATGAGCGCTGAATATTGCATATTTGAGCCCCTAAATATACGTATATTAAGAACTTAAGTGATAATTCTATCCAGTTTTAAACTGATTTATGTTTATTTCGTGTTTATAGGTACTTTCCCAAAGAAACGGTTAAAATCAAGACTTTAAGATGAAAAGACTGATATCGAAGCTTACAGAGTCGTTGCCGATCATCTAAAGCAAGCCGAGAGTCAAAATGGTGAAACTTGGAAGAATTCAAGTGCCAAGGCTCGAGCTTCAGTTCCATGGCTCGAGCACAAAAAAAAAAAAAAAAAAAAAAAAAAAAAAAAAAAAAAAAAAAAAAAACCACTAAGGTAGCAAAGCTCGAGCCCTCTATCTGAAAGCTCAAGCCCTGATCTTCATAGCTCAAGCCCAACCTTAGAGTGCTCGAGCCTTTACCTAAAAGCTCAAGCACATTAGGCGTTGGAATGTGAAAGGTTGTTTCAGAAAAACCATGCTTCCAGGACCTCGTGCCAAGGGATCGAGCACTGTTCCACAGAGCTCGAGCCCACATTTAAGAAGCTCAAGCTCCAAACTTAGGGCTCGAGCACCATGAAGGAATGATCGAGCACTGTTAAAGAAGAAATCCAAAAATATTCTAAGTGTTGATGAAAAAGACGCTTCGGAAAATATTTGAAGGAATTTGGCTAAGTATAGAAGTTAAGGCTCGAGCCCTCTACCTGAAAGCTCGAGCCCTGTTCCAAAAAGCTCTAACCTAAGCTTTTAAGCTCGAGCTCTCAATGACAAATTGGATTTTTTAGATGCGGGATTTGTCTTTATTAATCTTATTTCATCCAAGGTGGGCCTATATGATACCAAAAGACCTAAAAGCCTGTCAGAACCTTTATAAAGGTTAAATTTTCTATAAAAGAAGGCACAAGGCTACATAAAAACTCTCTCTCAATTTATTCTGAAACCTCTCATATTGTAGTGGCGGCTTTTAAGGTTTCTGTAGTGCTAAAAGGTGAAGATCCCGAGAAGAGAAGTGCAGTCTGTGACGATGAAGACCACAACAACACAGATGATAACTTATGTCGTCATAAGTAGTTAATTCATCTCTTATGGCATTGATGTAACCCGATCTAAGTACTATAGTTTAATTGTTCTAACTTCAGGAATTTAATAATTTATATATTTTGATTGCATAATGATGAGCAATTGAGTCACATCAATTGGTATTTTAATGAAATAATAATTTTTGAGTAATTATTACCTTGTCTTAGATATAATCGTTCTTAAATTATTTTTAACCCATTCTTATTGGATGGAATTTGGTGGAGGCCTACCAGACATAAGAATGAAGATCATACAATGGTGTTCCAACGTTTTTCATTACTGAATATTTTTATAGGCTACGCTTAGGAAAGATGGATTATATTGCAAAATTAGTTAGAAGTGGGTAGGTGGATAGTTCATGCTAACCGCAGATAAGTTATAATTAATTGAAATTTATGATATATCTTTCTTTAAAACCGAATTAAATGAATGTTATTGAGTTCAATTCATATGATATATAAATTGTTGAAATCCCAAGGTTGAATGGTTGACAATAGTATAAGGTTTGTGGTGAAGTCAAGCCCTAAGACTCTTTCTCTCTGATCTCTTTATCTTAATTTAGTTTTATTTTATTTTATTTTATATTCGTGACAAATAATCAATCAAAACATCAGTTATCTTTGAATTAAAATCAGATTAATTATAAATAGAACAAGTAATACTCATTTCTCTGTGGGATCAACACCCTCTATATAGTCTTATCCTACAAAGATTCGTACTATTGCGAGTGGTATATTTTGACACACATCAACAGGGATGGATTTAATCTTGGCCAAACTGAAAGGCAACCAGTATTTTGTCAAATTCCACTTCAAAGTCAAAAAGTGTCTTCTGTTCCTCAGCAATAGTCCCTGGACTGTCCGATAAAAGTGAAACTGTATGCTTCACACTATAATACTAGCAGGGGAAACAACCTCTCTGTGATACCCCCGGATTTCCGGATGCGGGTTGGCCAGGCCCACGCCCGATTACCCGAGGATATCAAACCAATTAGTAAGAAACGAACACAGAATACAATTAAGGAAACAGGAATAAATAAAACTGCTGAAAAGAAACTAGAATGATAATCCAAAACTGAAAACCTCAAAATAAAATTTTATAAATAAAGTATTAATTTGATACATCCAACTTTTCCAATTCTAATACAACTCGGGAATCTATCTGGTGGATCCCTAATCAAAGCAAATACTGGAAAACGAACAACTGAAAAGAAGTCCACTGCTAAACCATGAAGAAACCTCCTACGTCGTCGGTAGAATGAGTAGTCGTCTCTGCTCAGCACAAACCAGCTCTAAGACCTGGAACCGTCCGTTACCTGAAAAATAATAGTAGGTCAGGCCCACAAACAAGTTCTATCCTAACTACAATCCAAACAGAGACCTGATACGCAGATACATCCTA